ACTATGGATTCCTTCAGTAGCTGGTCTTAGACACATAGTCTATCCAGTAGCTGGCCCTTGGTCTCCTCAGTTGTTGGCACTTGGACTCACAAGGCCCTGAGGCTCTCAGCCCCACTGCAGTTGCTCGTATACAGACCTATACATGTACACACACACAGACACACACACACACAAGCATTATGGGTCTCCTCAGTAACTGACCTTAGGCAATCAGTGTACACGATAGCCAGCCTCTGGATCCCCTGCTCATCCAGTTGCTTCATGCAGACACACACACATGGAAACAGGTCTCTCTTGTAGTTAGTCCAGATCTATGGCCCCCAAATTTCACGGTCTCTCCAGTAGTTGGCCTGGCCCTCCTGATCCCTTCAGTAGCCAACTCTCAAACCACTCAGGTCCCTTCTGTATCTGGGCCAGACTTACACTGCTCCAACGCTTGGCTCCCAGGCCTACTCACTGGCTTGTCCAGCTTGATGTTCTGTAGCCGTTTCACACTGACGTGCACACCCACACAGTATGCATGCGCTCCAGTCTCTCTAGTTGCTGGCAGCACAGACATATGGGCCCAGATGACCTGTAATCTCTACTCCATTTGCTGGGACTTAGACATCCGTACACTCTGGTCTCTCCAGTTGCTGGCATCACAGGTGCACAGGCCCCTATGACTCATGGTCCCCACTGCAACTGCTGACACTTACACCTCCATACACACACATGCACAATGGAAGAGAGAGCCCTATCACCCAGGAAAATAGAAATAGAGAGTAGTAAGGAGGCAGGACAGATTGTGCTGATCAGGTGCGTGGTATGGCCAGATAAGCATACTGACCAGCAACCTGTTTACATGGAATAGTCTCCTTTAATACTCTTATCCTTCTGTTTTCCCATGCATGTTCCTCTCCAAACCACCTTGATCCCTGTTTTTGTTTCTTCCTCTAACAATCCCATAATAAGTCTTGTACAATCCCAAGATGCTCTTTCCCTGCATCCTCTAATGAGTCTCATATCCAGTAGGCAGTAACCTCTAAATTTAACACCCAGACAATGGACTGAGCCTGGTGCCCTGTGAGCTGCTGGATCAGAGTGCTCTGTTCTCTCTAATTAGGTTATTAGATTTCTTCTGTTTGTCTTTTTTCCTCTGTACCCTTTTGTGTCTGTGGAGATGAGCCTTTCATCACATAACCTAACACTGTTTGTTTGTTTGTTTGCTTTGCTTATAGTATAAATGCGTTTGTTAGTGGTGTTTTCCCTGCTCTCTTTATTCACTGCTGAACAAATTTACTGGGACATAAAGGAAATTCCCCAAAAATTTTAGGGGAAGAATTTTGCATGAAATGAATGCAGCAGCATAGACATTGTTCATTTTTTACCCTTTTCTAGTTTGAAAAAGATTACCTTGAATTTAAGAGCCAAATTGCAGCATTGTACCAGTCCATACAAGAATTTGTAGATTCCTGGTTTGAGAAGACTGTAACTGTAAGTATTCTGCAAATGAAAAACCCTTGTTGAGGTATTCAGAAACACTGAGTAGAAAATCCTCTCTTACTACCAGCGTTCTGTGCTGTGCTGGTCGCTGTCTGAGATAATGTCAGCCTATTACAAATGTTCTAAAAGTAGCCTACAAAAATGCTGGAAGCTAACGTTGTTGCTTATTTGATGCCAGTTTCATGTTCTGTCCTTCCTTACCAATTTTATAGCCCTATTTTTTTTCCAGTTTATTTCCTTTCTTCCTCCAAGCATTCCCCATACCTTTCCCCGCAGGCCACTGATATTCTAGGATAGTCCTTCTCTATGTCTCTAACTCTCCTATTTCTATGGCCAGTATTTTGTCACTTTCTTCACTGACTTGCTGTTTCCCTCTTACTCTGCTGCTCTCTTTCAGTGTTTCCTTTCCTTTCCTTTGCTCTGTACTTACAACTTGTAGTCCATGAGTAATGTTCACTACTGTGGCCTTAATTCTGATTGCTGTTCCCTAACTTCCCTCTTGAAAATTAGGGATTTAAGGTTTTCTTTAAAAAACAAAACAAAACAAAACAAAAGCAAAAACAAATTAAAGGTTTTGTGAGGCATACAACATCCTTTTCTTGAGCCTAGTGAAAGGAAACAAATAATGTGTTTACACAGATTCCAAGTTCTGGAGTAGTACTATTACAGATAATTAAATTGTGTTCCCATTCTGAGGGGGGAGTTCAACAGTTCTTATACTGCAGCCCAATATCCCATTACTGGAAAAATCAAAGCGATAAAGCCTTTGTCTTCATATGTTAGTGTAGAAGTGGAAGAGGAGTTGAAAGTGCAGGGGGAAGCTTTCAGTTCATTGCCTAACCAAACATAAAACATTAGGGCTTCCACATATTGCCTGTGTTATGTATGCACTATATTATAATAATAATATATATAATGCTAGTAAGAACAGGTGAGTTTGATGCAGAGTTTCAATTTCTTCAAGTCTTTCTTGTTCACCTCTCCATGCTGCAGGAAAGAACAGATTCGTCAGGAAGTTGGCTTTTTTCTTTTAAACTAAAAAGAATGATGATTATGTAATTCCTTATGGAAACAAAAAAACAAAAGAAAAACCCATGGGAGAGATGTTTGTCTGAATAACGTCTAGAACTATCTATTACAAAAACTGAATCCAAATGACTTTTTTTTTCCTAGTATTTCTTCATTATAGGATGAATGCTGTAAATGTTAATGACGACTTTAAAGAACCACTATTAGATTTAAATCCGGGGGGGAAGGGGGGGTGTCGTTGTACTCAGAGTTTAAACTATATTGTCCAGGAGCTTATTCACATATTCTTCCTGTTGCTTTTCCTCAGTTATTCCTATCAGACTGGAAGGAGTAATGAAATCAATTCTGCTAGCTGTTACCTTGATGTCAGCACAGTTCATTCATTCAGGCCGTGATTGTGAAATGACGTGTTAATTAAGCAGGAGTAGAGATGTAGGTGTTTCTCTGCTGCATCTATTTACAGAAAAAAAGTGATAATTTGAGAGTCCAAAAAAAATTAACTGTTGCTCCAATGTAGTCTGGTGGCATTTTGGTTAGTTCACGCTGCGTTGAGGTAAATACAGGCTACATGAGACAAAATACTAAAGGTGAATAAATTCCATGACTTATCTGGATGGATTTTTCTGTGTTTCTTAGAACATAATTTGGTATAAATTAAAAGAAAAAAAAACAGTTAATGAATAACGACTTTCTGAACCATTAGCATCTTCTGCCGTAAATGTTCCATCGTTCTCTTTAGACTGAACAGATGCTGGGACTTCTGATGAAGCTTGAAGAAATAGCGGGAAATCATATTGATCTTAATGAGAAGTATAGCATTGTCCTTCATCAATACAGCCGAGACTTAGACTTTGTTCAAAAACTCTACCAGAAGCAAAAAGAAAATCCACCTGTACCACGTAATATACCACCAGTAAGAATGAAATAAAGGAGAGAGGAGAAAATACTTTGCTCTTTGTCTGTTTTTAAGTTCATGGAATTGTAACCTCATGTCTTCTCTGTTTTAGGTAACAGGGAAGATTATGTGGGCTCAGCAGTTATACAGAAAAATTGACAATCCAATGAAATTCCTTAAAAAGAAAAGCGCTCTTCTGAAGGTTGGAAATTAGCCGAGGACGCTTTATGCTAAGCTCTAAAGCATGTTATTAACAGGCACATTTATTTTTATATTCTGAAGTTCACTTTTCTGATGACTTGAACAGATGTTAGTACGTGACTAACAAGGCTCCAAGGTTGTGGGGTTTTTTGTTTTGTTTTGGATTTTTTTTTTGTAGCATTATTATTCTGGGACTCAAGACAGCTCTTTTTCTTGAGACATTAAGCTGGCGACTTAGGCCAGTTCTTTTGTCCCTGCTGGGACTTGAATCATATTACTCCTGATCACAGCATTTCTGACCATATACCTAACCTTAGAGCCTTCTGTCTGCTACATCCTATAACAAGGAGGACTGAGATATTTAACCTCAACTACTAGGTACACTTCATGAAAGAATGTCATTTTAACAGCTTCCTCAATGAGAAAACAGTTGAATACAAGATTGGGAGAAAAAAGTCCTAAGAGTTTCGTTCCTTAGAGTAGTTTTTTTAATAAAAAGAGAGTAGTAATAGAGTACTTTTAATAACTGAATTCTTAAATATCTTTGTGTTTCTTTGTCTTATCTCCAAAATAGTACAGCTTAAAGCTCTGTATTTGTGTTGTTTTCCTAATAGTGGTGAGGAATGTCCTAATGAATGCCATTTTACTATGTTAGGCTGTGTCAGAACTGATTAAAGGTTTTGTGTGTGTGTGTGTGATTTGCAGACACTAGAGATGAAAAAGGTTGTTAAGAGCTACAACAAAATGGCTGCAGTTCTATTGGAATTTGAACTTCTTTATCACAGAGCGTGGTGTAGGTTTGCTGACCAAGCTAGAAATGCTCTTTGTGCTTCTTTACTATTCAGACATCCAGAAACCAAGGTAAATGGGATTTATTCTTTATGTTATCGTTACCTGTGATACTTTAGTCATAATGGACAGACAAACACAACCTTAAAATAATCTTTTTCAGGTTGAAAAATGAAGTACTTTAATCTGTGTAAATGTATAATTTTCTTTTTTTTTATATGTTAGGATACAGATTAATCATGTCTTTTCTTCATAAGTCTCCAGCCTCATTCAAAGCATATAAGGCAGTACCCAGCAAATATAAATCTGTTGTTGACTTATCTACATCTTTTTGCATATTGCTCCATGTTTTATTTTCTGTTACCCAAAATTTTATTCAAGAAAATGAATTTTTAATTAGATCATGATCTTTTCTGTACTGGTCAATATCACGTGTTGAGTATATTGCAAGTCATTCATTAATTCAATTTTGTAATTGCTCACCAAGATGAATTCTTGCCATTTTACAACTATTTTACAGGTACTTTTCTCTACTATACTACAGAGAAGTTAGAGTTAAAATGTGGCATTTTTTGAATTAATGATTTCATAATGGAGGGCTAGAACCGAATTTATAAGTTTATTTAGCATCTTGATAGCATTTTATGTTGCAGGAAATGAGCAGAGATGAACCTTCACAACTTTCCTCCTCAGTCTACAGATGAAGAAACTGAGATGAGAAGGAAACTAACTCTCATAGAGGGTCTTCTGTAAAACTAGAATTAGACTTAGGAAGTCACAGCCACCAAATGATGAGGGTATGCCGAGTCACAGGAAATTGAAATCAGTGGGAGCTATTGGTTGATTATTACTTTGGAAAAGCCAGCTATTTGTACAAGAGCCTAAATATCTGTGTAGGAATCTAAACATGGATGTAGACTCTTGGCTAATCCTCTATATCTTGCTATGTCTTCCAGATGTGTCACACTGCATGTAACCACCAAGCTACCGCCTGATTTTCTTTCTGTTTTTTTTTTCCCTGTACTGCTACATGAAGGAATTATTTGTAAACTTGGATCCAGTGGTCCTGGAAGTACTTTATGAAGCAAAATACCTGAAAAAAATGCATTTTGAAGTTCCAGATGTTGTCCTTTGTTTGTGTGCAGATGAAGACCGGATTAAAAGACATCAAATGGCGTAAGTGAGCACTTTTTGGATTTGATTCTCATCTGCAAATTTTCTTAGCTTTTAGTCCCTATTGTATATTGTTTTTATTTGTTAGAATTTTTCTCTCTGATGGAGTTTAATTGCAATTTAATTGCTTTCCCCTTTACTTCCCTAGTAATGTTGTTCACATGCAGTTCTTCCCATTTCCAGAAACATCTTGCTACTAGAAAATGTCAGTATGCTTTTTTCTGCTACTATGACAGCTGCTTCATAAGTGGTACTGCTAATGCATCTGCACACTGTAACATTGGGTTGGCACTTCAAATGACTGCAGTTAGCATCAAAATGCAATTAGAAAAACAAGCTGGAATTTACCATTTGATTAAGGCACAACCCAAATATTTGTACTAAATCAATAGTTTGTAATAGATAGCATTTTCTTTTTATGCTGAAAATCTGAAATAATTTTTGCTAATTTTAAAGAATTCTTTTCTGCCTCTTGAAACACTAGGAGATATCAGGGATATCTAATTCTGTGCTGGAACAGTTCTTTTGAGTTCTCAGGGATGCTGATTATTAATTCTGTAACTCTCCAACTCTAATTGAGGATGATATGTCTTTAAAGAGTCATCTTTAGTGAGGAGTGTTGTTTTTAAATAGGAGTGTACAAAAATGGACCAAGTCCAAAGAGTTTACTAAGCAATTGAATTCAAACTCCTTCCCTTTTTCTATTGTTAAAGCTTTTAGTCTTTTACTGTTATGATACCACATTTTCAGTAATTATCTGTGGAGTATTTCAGGAGAGACTAATCTAAAATTTCTAATGTGCAAGACAAACTGTGTGTGCTACAGTCCTTTAAAAAGCAACACCCCCAACTTTTATCATCCAAGAGAAATAAAATAAGTACAGAAAATGCCTCCATGTAAAGAAAATCCAAACATGTTTTCTACTGTGAAAAAGGCTTCAGGCTAACCCCCTAAGCAAAAAAGGAGTGTCAAAGATTGTAGATTTTTGCTTAAGCTACATGGGAAAAACGACTTCCAGCATAATCACCCTAAGAATAGATTATTACAATACACTGTTTGGTGTTTAAAATGAGCATATTTAAAAGCACTGTTTTAATCTGGCACGGAACACAGCTGTCACTTTTTTTTGCAGCAGTTCTTGTAAGGAACTTATTATGTACCTTTGACTTCTGAGTTGCATTGGCTTCCAGTTCACGTTTATACAGCTCTGTCATTTTCACTAAGCTACATAGGTAAATCTGGGTTCAGAATTTGGCCTCCTTTTCTTTCTGGTTTGGTGTCCTAAATAGTTCGGAACTAGATTTTAATATTAGCAGTGTCATTTCATACCATGTCTTGTGAAATAGAAAGAAGGGAACCACAAATACTGTGTTCTCAATTTGCTATTTTAGACTGTAACTCATTTTCCTTGAAAGAAAGTTGTTCCAAACTGATCAGTCACTTTACTGGAGGTACTTATCTCCCCAATCAGTTTCTGATGTGAGTGGAAAAAAGGAGGCTTAGTTTGAGATAGGAAAAGCTAAGAAGAGTTTCTAATTTTCATATGGGTTCAGAGCTTGCAGATTTTATTAGCAGAAAATGTGTCCAAAGTCTTTTATGTTTCAAATATTTGAAATAAGTACGTTCTAAACATGACTGTGTGTTGCAGACTTCAGGATCTGTTGATGGATTACAAAGAGTGTCTGAATAGAATTCCTGTTATACTGGAACCACTGATGAAACCATTTATAGCTCAAGTTGAGGAAGCCCTTACTCTGGGCCTGATACAGTTGTCATGGACTTCTTCAAACATCAATAAATGTATGTATTAAGTGAGGAAGAGGTGAAATAATAATGATGATGTTGTTAGGTAGTACCCTCCTGGTATTTTCTTGTCAATTTTAGGAAGAGCAGTCTAAGTATTCCCTCATTAGTGCCAAGGAAAAAAAAACATGCCAGATCCCTCCTGACTATGGAAGTAAATCAAAGATAAGTATGATGGAAATGATGGGTTTATGTCCTACTCTAAACTGTGGTGATCAAGGTGGAGCTGTTTGACAGCTACCTTTGAACAGTCCTACCTTTTTCCCTCCTGGGTCAGGCCCCTTTGCCACCCTCATGTCCTCCCGGATAAACAACCCACACCTGTTTACTCTTGCCCTAGTGGGCCCTGATTTTGGCACCTCTTTTGGTATTCATGATATAGTTGCCTTACTGATCTGTACCATGGTCAGTAATTTCGTTAAGCTATTGCCCCTATTTTGTTATATATAAATAATGTTACTCAGTTCTATTTTTTTTTTTTTTTTGGCATCTTGTTGGTGTAGCCGCTGGTTAGGGTTGACCAGCTGCATACATACTTCTCCATCTTTGCTATCTGTAATGTCTTGTAGTTTCTTACATTTCTATCTTAGTGTAGCCACGGGTTGGGGTAGGCAATTTGTCTGCATACCTCAACAATATGAGCCTTTTCTCTGTATGTTTCTTAGAATCACAATTAGAGGTGGAAAAGTCCTGCTAGGTGCTCCTTCAGCAATGGAAATGCGTACCTTTTAAATGTTGTGAGTGATGGAAATTGTGTATATACAAAATATTTTATGTTGATGTATGTGAGTGATTTAAGAGCTATAATGCAGCTCTGAAGAGTGTCTGATTCAGCTGAACACTTCTATCTACTGAATTAATTTTCATTGGGATCATTTCACAAACACTACTGCTGGCTGAAGGGAGTGAGCTGGCAATTGTGGCTAGGGAAAATTATGAGGATGCTTGGTCATCCTTTTAGTAGCAGGCTGCATAAAGTGGAAACAAAATAACTGTGGAATAAGTCTCTGTTTCTTGAAATTGGTCAGGATTCCTTAATCCTACTAAACTTTATTGGTCACTGTATTGGAGTGACTTGCAATGAGGGAGTAAGGGCTCTGCTGTTTAAAAAAAAAAAAAAAAAGTACAAAAATATTACAATAGTATCTCTTTTTTAAAGGAAGACGCTTTCTGGCTCCTCACTTTTGGGTAAATAGTGTTGTAAAAGCATTGTCTCCCTCCCCCCCCCCCCCCCCTTTTTTTTTTTTTTTTTTTTGAAACAAGGATTTGGTTCTCAACTGAAACACTATAAATTCAGTTTGGCTGAGAGTTCATTGAAGTTGTTTAGTTAATTTACAGCTGTATAATTGAGTAATTGGCTTCTCATCTCTGACTGCTAGTCAGTTCATCTTTGAATAGTTTCTAGAGCCTTGACTTTCCTAGCTTTCTAGCAAACTTCAATGAGTGTCGTATTATCATATCGTTGTATCATATTATTAAGTCTTCTGTTGCCGTTCCTTTTTGAATTGCAAGCATTTCATTTACTGAACTTAAAACGTCACATCACGTTTTTAAAATTAGAGAAACAAATCACACATTTTTACTTTATTTTCCCTGTCAGTCTCCCTCTGATCTTTTTTGAAGTAAGTGACTATATAATGAAAAAAAAACTTTTCATATACCTGCAATTATAGTTTTATTTCTCTATGAAAACTGTTGTTGTGGGCTGACCCCTTCACTTAAGGGAAATAATTACAACCTGACTAGTACAAGAATGTAGGCAACAGAACTGGAGCTATACCCTATCTCTTATTTTTTCTGAAGAAAAATCTTTGTAACTTTGTGTTGAACATCCTACAAGAGAGGTATCTAAATTCAAGGTTGAAAAAATAAGATATACAGCATTTGGAGATTTCTGCCCAAACCTTATATTTTTTTGAAGAAAACTTTTTTTTAATCCACAATTATGTTGAAGCATTTTCCACACAGCCAAAAAGATACAAATTTACCACCATTAGATACAACATGAAGTTAATTAACTGCTACTAAAATATCTTTGAAATGGACATATATAAAACCATCAGGAAGACTTTTGCATTGCAGTTCTGTGAGAAACCAATAGGTCTGGCTTGTAAATCAGTTTTCAGTTGAGTCAGGTTAAAGTTAGGCTTCTGGCTTTCTTCAAAATGTAAAGCAATAAAATAAACAGAGACAAATGCAGCCTAAATCTCAAAGTGGAGTGGGGCATGGGTTTGTGCAGCTGTTCATTTGTGACTGTGCCGTGTGGCACTGAGGCACGGGATGCTAATCAGTGCTTAAGACAGGTCTGGCTGCCTTTTAGCCCTCACAAAACACACAAAATAATGGCAAGTTTTTTGTTTTATATCTGTCTAAAAGGTATATCTGTCTAAAATTTTTGTGTTTGGTTTATGTAGTTTAGTAGCACATCATAAGGAAGGTCATTAAAATATTATTTATTTATTCATGTAGCTATGTCTACACTATGTTAAGATAGTGTTTGCTGTATCACTATCAAAGTCTGAATAGCTACAGCTCAGGTTTTACTGGGTCTTTGGATCAGTGTTTGCTTTAGTGGAAACTGGCCTTGTTTGGCAAGGTAGGGGTTATGTAGCAAGAGTACCTCAGCTACTACTTCTGCTGCTACAGCTAGAACTAGAGGGCTGGAATTTCCTCTAGAAGAGATTGCTTCCCTTATGTGGATGCATCATCACTTTTTGAGAGTGTGCAACGTCTAGCACGTGCAGAATATTTGTTGGACACGTAAGCTGTTTGTTCAGTGCATACAAAATAACTTTGACCTGCCACAAATATGCTGAACTCACTATGCATGAGCTTAATATCTTGAGTGCCTTACTTTTAAATAGTAGATGGAAATATGGGAGGCCCATGCAGGTCTCTTTGAATAAAAGTCCAAAAACAAGGGAAAAATGGATTTCAGACTACCTAATTTATTTAAAAAAAAAAAAAAAAGACCAAGGAATTGGTCAAATTATTCATCCATATTAGTCAATAACAAGACAAGCCCCAGGCATTAACTTCCTGGTAGGAATGAATGATACTTTCCACTTAAAGCATCAACAGTTGCACACTGCTGTCACACTGCTGTCTTAGATATCACAGGGATTTCTTTGTACATGGAATAAGAGAATTGAGGTGATTCAAATTATACTGTCTGTTAATAACAAATACACAGGTAGGAGTTAGGTGACATTTCTTTTTCTACAATGAAAGTATTAAAAAATTTAGTCACCCTATTCAGAGATAGTCTTTTTTTTTTTTCACCTAGTTTGATAAAACACATATCTTTTAGTCACCCTATTCAGAGATAGTCTTTTTTTTTTTCACCTAGTTTGATAAAACACATATCTTTTAAAGTGCTCCAATTATCTCTATCCAAAATAAATTGGATCATATAGCTGAAAAGAAATCTGGTAGTTCAGCCAGTGTATAATCTTGGCTTGAGGAATTTTAGACATTGGTTTTTATAAGTAGGTTACAAATATAAAATACTGGATTTGACTGTGTGTCTGTCTGTGTAGGAAGACGAAAATAATTTTTGAATGGTTGCATTCTTTCTGTTTTCCATTGTATTTTGTTGGTACTTTCCATTACAATATAAATACAAAAAAGTGACATTCTGAATGCTGTTGTACTATTTACTGTAAAATGGCTTCATTTAAAGACTTCAAAGTACAGCAAGCTCATCACATTTTTAGTTTCAGGCCTTAATTACATATTTAATCGTCATTAAATCCTCATATCATTGTAATAAATGGAAAAAAAAAAGATTTAAGAGGGCTGCTCTTTGCATGATTTGTTTTCACTTTGTTTTCCATGCTTAGTTATTGAGAATGCTTATGATACCCTGAGGGAATTGAACTATATAGTCAAAGAAGCAGCTGACCTTTTGGAATGCAGAATTGAAAGAACTCTGCAGGACATGTCGAACACTGCTCTGATAACTTTACCAGAAGATGAACCTATAGATGTGCTTGCTTTCCTGGAACAGACAGAAAAACTTACTATCTCTGCTGCTGACACACTGTCTCAGTAGGTTTATTCGTTGCCTATATTTGAAGGCCGTGTTTGAGAGGGATTATTTATATATTACATTTTTATACGTAAGTAGTGTACTTTTAAAATTCTGTTGTAACAGTGCTGGTCTAAAGCAAAATGATACAGCAGATGTAAAACTGCATCTGTATTTTTTAACATTTCATATTTTTCTTCTTATTATATAAACAGTAGCAAGAAAAATGAAGATGTATAGGACTTAAAATCTCATCCGAATGTTAATCACTTGATTTTTTTAATGCTAGCTAGTCAGTGTGAGACTTCCCATTCTCCCAGTGCTGCAAATTGTTTATTTTATGGAATAGTGGAATTTATTAATTTATTAGTTAATAGTTTATTTTTAGTGGAATAGTTGTTCAGTTCTTTTCCAGAAAGATGCCTGCGTCCACTTTGCAAAATCAGATACTTGCCTTCTATTTATTTTATTAATTGTCTCTGTTACTAACTCTGATATCACAGATTGTTATCACAGATTGTATCATCCTGATAAACCTGTTTTCTTACTATAACTGGAAAATAACTTCTTTTTTACTTATTATGAAATACAGTTGGACTGCATATAGCACCGTCTGACAAAGAGGCTTTTTGATAATCTGCATATCTTCTTGTCTCACACTTTCTGTATGCTCAAGCAATAGGAGAAAAAAGAAAAGTATAAGGGTATTTCCCTGCAAATACAGTTCTTCACAGTGAGGTGGGGTAGGGCGAGGATATGCCTGAAAAACAGCAAAGAATATTCCTTGTGTTTGATTCTCTGTATGTGACTGTAAGATTATTTTTGTAGACAAAGCCAGCAAGTGGAATGCTCTATGTATGAACTGGTTGATATTCTTAAGCAAAGGCTGAAAGCAGATGTGAGAAGCACTCTGGAGGTAAGACCTCTACAATGTAAAAAATAACCTTATATAACCTAGTTAGATATTTGATATTTCACTTACGTGCTGGATAATATGAATACTTTTCTAAAGCTTTGCCTTTAACTCTTCAGGATTCATATGCCTGTACACATCTTGACACAAAACAGAAAACACGCTGCCAAGAATGCCTGTCCTGTGGTTACTATAATCTGATGGGACAGCTTTGTCAGAAGAATACTGACTCTTTAGTCAGATGTGAGTCTTTCATTTTCAGATGTGTTTAGTTTTTATATATCATTTCAAGATTTTTCAAAGCTTATTGTGGTAAATGTAACCTCACTTAAATATTATATTATCTAGGCACAAGGATTTCTTTAGAGTCCTTAAGAGATCGCTTGCGTGTTGTTGACTCTAGATATCATATGACCAAGACTGTAGAGACACAGAGGGTTCCTCTGTTCAAAGCTGAAATTCAACTGGCTATTCCAAATGTTGTCTTGAGACCAAGTCTTGAAGTTATTCAGGTAACAAATTGCATGTCTCAGTCATTCTTGGTAAAATATTTATAAACATGTTGTTTTAAAACAAGATGTGCAAGTTTAAACTGGTATTAAAACTAATGGGAGGGGGGAGATTAAATGTCACTGAAGTTCACATGATCACATGTGAACTGAGGACACAAGATCAGGGTTGTTGTGCAAGCCAGTAGAAGGAAAACTTTTCCTGAAAACACGGGAACTCCTGTACACAACCCTCTACTTAAATGCAAACATTTCAAAGTGGATGCAAAAACAAAAATTAATGTCATTATTGTGGCCTGGTTCTCTTTAAACTCTTTCAGAATATCCAAAAACTGTATCAGTTTGAAATATCATTCATAAATCAGCATTCTGTTGTAGTGAGTGAGATGTAATGAAAAGTACTACCAGCCTGATGCCCTAAACTATAGAAGAATTTAAACACCCGTGGAGATTTATGCTAATTCAGCAGAACTCTTGCATGTCTGAAATTATTCACAAAGTATTAGTTGGTTATGATGCTGACTTGTAGACTTCTCGTTTGTCACTGTCAAAATCAATGACTGAACTCTTTTTCAGATTTCTTTTACAGTCTTTGTGGTGTTGTCAGTAAGAAATCAGACAAGAAAGTATGTTTGTAAAGTACAGTAGATAAAAAGTTATAAAATTTATACAACTGCGTGTGTAGGTTAGACTCCCATCACAAATTCAAATAAATGTATTTAGGAATTCTAACATGGCTGTGAAAAGTATTATTATTATTTATAATGAATAACTTTGTTTATGACCAGTTTAAGGGGGAGAATAGTACTATAATTCATGATCTTCAATGATTTATGGTTAATGTTCATAAAGCTCTCCGGTGCTCTTTGGATGAAAACCACATAGAGGGATTGGCTTTGATAAAGCTTCATGGAGTACTCTTTCCTCTTGCAAAATGTATTTCTAGTGATCCTACTTAATGCTTATTAGAATATTTCCTGTAACTATTCTGTGGTATGATTTTTCCATTTTGGAATTGTCTGAAGAATTGATTTGGGGCAGGGGCAGCTTTATTAGGCATAAACTCCCTGTGTGCTTAAAGCGCGAATGTTTTATTGTTTTCAGAATGCTGTAAACAAAGCAGTAAATATGATGTTATCAGCAGCCAAAGATATTCCCCTGTGGAAATTTGCTTACTTGCATCATAAGCAGCAGCAGCAGCAGGTGGAGTGTTTTTGTTTCAATTACTTTAAAATCTCAGTATTTGATTTAACATTTCTTAATTTCCTAAGAATATGTTTTGTAATAATCCTTTACTTCCAATCTGGGGGATCTTCCTATTAAGTGAAAACTAGTTTTTAATATACTCTCTATACTAAGTAATTATTTCAAGTGTAACAATTCATTAAACTTACATTATTTTTAATATTAAAAGATTTTTATGAAAGCTACTTTTTACTTTAGAAACACTATTCAAGCGTGATGATAATGTTGAGTGAAAACTAACATTATGCATGCGTACTACCAGCTGAGTATACGTTACTATCAGTCTTCCCAGGCAAAAACTATTTTAATTGCTAATCTTCCAGGCTGTGACTGTAACATCTGCAAAGCTACAGTAAACACATTACACAATTTTATTTTTTAAACTGTCATAAAAATGAACACAAAATGTTAGGAAGGTCTGAAGGCTAGACAGGAAGTCAAACTTGTTGAAATATAGACATGCACTGTGATTGGCACTTGATATGGCATTCAAATAGGCTTAATTCTGTCCTGTGGTAATGAAATAAGCATAAAATTATCTCTGTGGGACACATGATCAGATTCAATTAATAGAGTATTTCACTTCCCCCCCCACCCACACGTGGGTTTTTTTGTCTTCATGGGGATGTGAGAGAAACTCAGACATGTGACTTAAGGCTACCTAGTGGGGAACAGCAGTGATTTTAAAGTAGCAGTAGTCTTGACCTAAAGAAAAAGGATATTCTATTAGTTATTCTCAGATGAAGGGCATGAAATGGTTAGATCACTCTATAAAGGTGCTATCTAGATCAGAGGCAACCGCACAAATTCCGGGAGACCAAAGGAAAAAAATAGCTTGTGAACTGCTTCATGCACAACCATGGGGAAAGCAGATTTCAGATAAATAGACCATGAATAAGAAAAAAAGGTCTTTTTTAGGTGGACACTCAGATTTGTGCAAAATAGATTGGAATAACTGGGGGAAAAAAAGATAAATTTCCTATTTATCTAATCTCTACATACTAGTTGGAATCATCAGTTTTTAGCCACCTAAATTAGTACAGGATTGTAAGCTATGCCAGCTGTACCTGAACAGGAAAAGACTCTTCCTTGTTCAGAATTCAGGATCATAGAACAGTTGAGGCTGGAAGGGACCTTTAAAGATCCTCTAGTTTGATTGTCCAGGTAGACCTCTCATGCCCATCACCTTCATCTTGAGAAAGGAGATAATTCCAGTTCCGAGGAGAAGCAGAACATTTCTTGTTTCCCAGTTTGTTCAAAATTTGAATATTTTAAATATTTTAAATTTTAACTTACATCTCCTGTGCCTGCAGCTATTATCTGAGTCTTGAAAAATGCAGATCTGTGCTGAAACATGTCTATGTAAAAATATCTTTCTATTTGGTCAATCTAACGTTTTAAAAAAAAAAAAAAAAAAAGACCATTCTAAAAGACCATCTAAAAAGACCATTCAAGTCCTGCAGAACAAAACAGCTAGGGGACAGTGAAATGGATCCATGCTTGCTTATTTCCAAGTAGCCAACTCTCTGCTGCTTGCAGCACTGTTTTTTGGCTAAGAATGGGACTAGAGTTTAACTCCATACTAAAGAGATTAGGGAGGTCTGAACAGCTTTTGTGGGAGTAAGAAACAGCACAGTGAAGTATATTTAACAGAAGTAATTCAGAGACTGTTATCATGAAGCTCCATATTGCAATTTTTTATAAAATCATCTTTGACCCTAGAACTATAGTTCTGTAAAGTGATCCAAGCTAAGAATAGGGAGTTCATTTATGGGTTCTTATTTTGCACTTTTAAACTATTCTTAGAAGTGTTTTACCGTGTGTGCTGAATTACTTAGTTTTTTCACATTCTGGAATGCTCAGTAAAACTACTGAACATACGTTTATTCTTGTTTAATTTATGCCAGATTGAACAAGCTGTTGCTATAGACCTGGGAGATGAGAGCAGACGCGCCAGGATGGTGGCAGTGAAATCTTTAGACAAGCAGATCATCGAGCATAAGGATATAATCAAAGTTATGATCCAACTAAGCACAATTATTTTATCTCTTAAGACCAAAGCAGCGGATATCCTGAACAGCTTTTCTAAATTTTCAGGCATCTGGAACCAGGTTAAAAACATATTAAGTAAAATTGCTATATTGTGAAATGTACCAAATAAACTATTTGAGGTTGTATAAGTAGATGGTATGCTCAGTAGAAAGCATGATTCATCCTTTCCCTCTTACCTCCCCTGCTATCCTGAACATTTTCTAGCTTTCTTTTACATATAGGAGGATCTATTGAATGTTCTGGTGTCATAGTAGAATCCATATACCCATAATACCTATTCTCTCCTCTTTTATTGACCAGAACTTGCCATTCCTACCAATTAATCCATCTGAGAGAAAACTGAAGAACAACAAAAAGAATGTTGGGTGCATAAGGAAACTTATCTTCTTTCTCATAGTAGGATAAGGAGTAGCTTCAGAAGGCATCTTGTCTATATAGGTTATAAAAGGAATCATTTAGCAGAATCTTTGAAAAACTAGACTACAAAATTGCCCCTGAACATTAAACTGGCTAGTTCTCCTTCACCAACCATTGCTAAAGGGAGCTTTTCTGCTTCTTCACAAAAATGATAAACTCAATCTAGGACAACTTTCTGGTAATAAGGATTCTAAAGCAGAATAGAATCTGAGCTGATGGAATTGTCTTCATTAGGAACTGAGTCCAATCACAGAAATGGTAAAGCTCTGAGGAGCTTTTTTTGGCAAGAAATATTTCATGCTATATAACCTTGTGTAGGTGCTGACTAGTGAAATTTAGCCTCATGGGGAAGGACAGCTGCTGGTCTTATCTACCAAAGGTGCAGTAGTTAGGCTAAAATGCAATCGGGACAGGAATATCTTTAACTGATAGCTGCTTCTAGCTTCCCCTCTCTAAATCAAATCATAAACTGTATTAGTAACAACCACAATGTCTGTCCTTTCCTCTCATGCTGCTACTTTTGCAGTTAGAGTTCAGGCCAAGATGGGGTATTTTCACCTCTGTCGTTGAGCAGTCTCTTCATGGCATATGGGAGTCCAAATCTCAGTGCTTAGTTACTTCAGTTATTGAAGGTATTGATTGAGCTAACCACACAATGCTGGTACATCCTTTCACCCAAATAAGGCATAATCAGATTAGATGATGCAGAAGCATGATACTGTTTCTTTTTCAGTAAAATCTTTAGAATTGTCAGTGAAGCTGCTCCCTAACCTCTGAATTCTTTAGGAGTTGGCAATGTTTCCCCTCCTCTTTATCGTTTCTGTGGGACTACTGGTAACTGTCATGTTGGCAGAGAAGCAATAACAGCCTCTCAGGAATATCACAGTGCAGATTGTAGATGCAAGTCACTGAGCTGGATAAAGATCATTAGTCTGTAATTGAACTGAGAATGGAGGACATTTATTGGACCCAAGGTGCTGGTGATGCTGAAGATCTTCCTGAGCAGAAAATAGCTTACCTTATTAAAAGGAAAGATGTCACACTCGGTGCTCTATCCCCTTGGAGCGAGCTTCAACAAGCTAAAGGTTCTCTCTTCTCTAAGATCCATCCTTTTCTGCCAGACTGCATTTGCACCAAATGACCTGGCTTTGAATACCCTGTAGTCCGATGTTTGTACCTAGTAGTTCAATACGCTGTTCCAGGAAGAGGAAGGGTGGCTGAACTGATCAGCCACTAATAGTACAATTGCTATAATATTGCTAAAGGCTTTTAGAGGATGTGAGTTTCTTCTGGGAGTTGGCAGAAAGAAAAACTGGGAAGAAAGTATTTCCAGCTAACTTTTAGCAGCTACGTTGTGAATTTCATAGTAATATTTGGAGGGGTAAGGGATATCCTAATCTGTCGATTTTTGAATTACAGATTTTAAAATGCTTTAAAGAGTACTACATAAAAGGCAAGAGCTGGAAGAACAGATCAAGCAAAATAATTTGATCTTAATGGTTATTTCTTAAGCTATTAGACAGGGATCATCTGTGACTGCACAGCACATCAGGCAGCTGGTTCCCAGATAGGCTATTGTAATACCAATGCTAAATAGTAATTAAAACAAACTTCTTTTATATAGGATCCAGAGGAAAAAGTGAAGGAATTTATAGAGACTAACCCAACAATGGCAGAATTCCAAACTCAAATGAGTTACTTTTCTGTAAGTATTGTATGTATTTAAAAAAACCTGTGCTGTTCAGAGAAATTGTAGTGAAATAAAAAAATTGATCACTTGTGTTTTTCTCAGCAACTGGAAATACAAATCAGAGAACTGCCAAAGCGCTGTATACTGGAATCAGTGGATATTGCCACCTTTGAATAAACAGTCTGCCACAGACATGGATGAAATTTATTCATTCATTGACAATCTCAGCAAGAGATTAAACAGGCCTATCCATGACCTTGATGATGTACGGGGAGCAATGGAAGCACTGAAGGAAATTCGAGAGAATGAGATTAAAATTGACATGACAATTGGACCAGTAGAAGAATCTTATTCTATGCTTCATAAATACAATCTACTCTTTCAAGATGGAAACACAGAAAGAGTTGATGGATTGGCTTATGCTTGGAAGAACCTAAACACACAGGTATTGTAGCTGTGCTGTACTGTTTCTCAAATACATATAGCAAATTTTTGGTCAGCTTTTTTTATATCAGAAAATATTTAAATATTTTCTTTAAAAATCCTGGATTTTTTTCTCTCTTTATGCATGTTTTTATTCTTTTGTCTGCATTTAGGCACTGCAGACTGAGGATTTGCTCCTAAAGGTACAACCAGCCATGAAAACAGATTTACTGAGTGGTGTACAAAAATTCCAGATTGATACTGCAGAATTTTACAAAGACTATGAGGAAAAGTAGGTAGATTGTGGTGCAATACCATTATGCTTCATTAGGGTTTGTTTAAAAGTGATATATCTAAAAGGCTGCAGGAAAATAAACACTCAAAAATCTCAAAGTATATATGACAGGTGCTTTAAAAAAGTCTACTTTCAAAATAATACAAGATGGACAGATTCTCTTACTGTCACAGATTCATTCCCATAATTTCAGTTCTGGAGTCTGGGGTGAAAATCCAGAAGAGTTAATAGACTGGGGAAAACAAAAACAGATTCTCAATCCCTGATCCAAAGTTAAATCTTTTTGAAGGTTCTAAACTCAACAAGGCACTTAAGGAGATATTTAATATTAAGTGTGTGGAGATTCAGATTCTGGATGTTACTAAGTTCAGAGTTTTCCTTACAAGCATGCCTACATTGACTTTCTTTAAATTGTCAGGCAAGTGTGCCTTATAAGACAGATCTACGTTAGCAACTTGGTGTGACATAAAGAAGGAAGGACAAGAATCTGTTTTGCTGTGATCTGTTATCGTTCTAGGATGACACATCCACAGTGTGTTTACTGGCAGTGAAGTTCATGTCAGCTAACCTTAGGCACGCCCTATACATCTATAGCCCGTAGGCAATGTGAAGCAGCTTTCTGTACAGCTTTCACAGGCTGCCTTACTGCCGTGCCTGTGCATAGAACACAAACTGCTGAAGGGCACTGGAGAAGATATATTCCATACTTTACATTCCTGTTACAAGCATGGTGCTCCAAGTGGTAACCTAGTGTTTGGCTTCAACCTTGCCTTCACCAGGAGTGAAGCTTCTTGAAGCTGCACTAATAATGCATTTGAGCGCGTGCCTCAAGACTCCAACTATAGACAGAAGGTGAATTCAAACCTAAAAGGAACTTATCTAGAGCACTAAGTTGCTAATGTAGATGCACGTGTTGTGCTGTTTGTGGTCCTAGTTCTCGAGCTGTCTATGTGAGGAATTCATGAAAATGCACTGGTGCTGCTTTTTTGCTCATTGTAAGGACCTGAGAGCATTTCCTCTCCTGGAGGTTTGGCTGCCTGGGCTCAGGACCAACTTAAAGATCTGAGAGTTTCCCCCTTCCCTTTGGTGATATGCCTCTTCACCGTTGACTTGTCTGGAGATCTGAACTCTCAGTTGAACCTTTATTAAGAATATAAAGGAAAATTATCATTATAATGTATTTTTACAGAAGAAAAGAAATAGGAAATAACACAGACAAAGCATTTATAGATCTTTTTAACTGTTTGGAATATTATGTATTGGTAACCCTGATGAATTGTATTATTATAAGATATATTGGGCTTTCCTTTAGGGAATACTCAATGTGTAATTTTGGGATGTGAAATTAAACTTTGGATTTCTCTTCTAGTATCTTTTGTGAAAATTTCTAGGAAAAAATGTTAAAAATGTTTAAAATGTTAAAATACTTTTTAGTAAGTCAGGTCTGTGTTTTAAGCTTCTATTGTACTTTTTGTGAAACCCATATGGTTGATGCTTGCATTGAATTTGTTTTGATTTTTACAGGGGTCCCAGTGGGGAGGATATTCCTCCCCATGAAGCAAGTGACAGATTACAGGTCTTCCAAGCCAAATTCAATGACCTCTGGAGGAAGTATATCTCTTTTTCTGGTGGAGAGGAGTTATTTGGTCTTCCTATCACAGGTAGTTTCTCAGGGAACATGGACACCTGACCCTAGGCTACTAAATTTTTATGGTGGGCCCTACTAAATGTATTCAGTGCTGGATTAATTGTACGAAAACTCCTTGCAGTCCATTATAATTGCCTTTCATCTGAAAAGCATTCGTTGCTGAAAAGCAGCTACCAAAACCAGTGGCTCTTAATCTGTCCTTACCTAAACATCCATTGGAAAAAAAAAAAAAAAAAAGTTCCCTACATCCTAGCTGCTTCCCAGAGTCCAGCTGCTTAACTCTCTTGTTTTTTTGGTTCGGAGCTAAACATGTTTCCTCACTGTATCACTCTGTGTCCCGGCATGAGGAACGTTTTGATGAAATACCCAAACTGGTCATGCACAGATGTAGAATGAATTCACTTGGGTTGTACAACTGACCTATAATATCCTCATGCCTCCCTCGACAGATCCACTTCAAATTTTGTAAATCGTGGTGTGATTTAAAGTTTAGTTAATTTAATTAGTTAGTTACTTTAGTTTTCTGCTTTCGTTAAAGCAGAAAGTTAATAGACACTTTAATTCATAAATGCTGACTTCAGCACTTTTCATGTCTGAAGACATTTGCAATAACCATTTACTAGGAAGTGCCAAGGAATAAGAGAAATCAAATAAAATATTTCAGTTAGAGAAGTGTGTTTTAAATGCTTTTAATGCATAACATAGTCTACAGGTTTAATTTGAATGCCAAAAAAAAAAAACAAACCAAAAAACCACCACTCTTCTCCCTCTAAAGTAAATAGTACAAACTTAGTTGGGGAATATTTTAGTTTTCCCAGAAAACTACAGTACGCTCCTTTGCCATTTCAGCTACTTTTTCAACATTACTTCACTTATAGAGGTAAGTGCAGCAGTTCTGTAATAAGAATACATCTACCATTTATAGAAAAACTTACATGAACCCAGCAATTTAAGTAGTTATCGTGCATCAAAATCTGACATCCTTGCGTACTGTAATTAGAAAAGTATGTCTTATTATGCACTAAAAGAACGCAAATCTGACATCATGAATTTATTAAATATCAATTTTAGAAATACCTGTATTATGTCCATGAATATAGTTACAACTAATTGATACTCACAGATTTCTTCTTTTAAAATTTGCAACAGAGTATCCTGAGCTGCACAAAATTAAACGTGAGCTTTCATTGCTTCAGAAACTTTACAGTCTTTATAATTCAGTCATTGCTGATATCAACAGATATAATGAAATGCTTTGGAATGATTTAAATATTGAAAAAATTAACAATGAACTTCTAGATTTTCAAAACAAGTAAGTTATTTATTATTTGTTGAAGTGCATGCAATTTTTATTTCTCATATTTTTGTGTTCATTAACTTCTGAAACCTGAGGGGCAAAAATGTATTAATTTATTTCAAACTCAGGCTTCCTTTAGTGCTCAGCACAACTGCGAAAGTTTCAGACTGGTGCGTTAAGTAGCTAACACATGGTCTTAAGTCTGCAAATCCCTCCAGGCTTATTGAGTTATAGTGGCATAATTTAATTGTTGTAGCTTAATTAATTAATATCCTTAAACTGAATGTGAATGAACCTGTGGCAAGGTAACAATAATTATTAAATTACCATCATAGCTCAACTTCATAGCTCACCTTCTCGATAACTTGATTTACACCTAATGAATTAGTCTGCAATGTTAGGCAGAATTTTGACATGACTATCTGCTTCTGCACATTTGTATGGATGGAAATTGTTATTTCAACAAGGGTAGGTAGCCACACTAAATTCTGAGATGTTATTTAAGAGAGTAGATATGATGTTTTTCACGTTGCATACAGACATGTAAGGTAAAACCATACTTTACTGAAATCAAAGGAGGCTTTCTGTTATTTTGGTAGGGACACAGCTTCAGTTGTTGAACAGCCATGGCCAAGTGTACGAGACTTCCATGACCCATCTTGTTACTTCTCTGGTCTTTCAGAGGGAGAGGCTAATGAACCAACAGGATTTAGCTCTGTTTCCTCTATGTCCAGCTTTCTTTGATCTCTGAATTCTGGTGCTAAAGAATGGACAGAGTTGCTAGAAGAAGTGACATTTGTTACATGGAAGAGTGGAGATTCTATATGCTTCCATTTTTTTAGAGCAATTATCTGTGCCAGTCTATGTTTTGCTCTTCATGGGAATTGTAAAATATGTATCAGAAACAAATTACATGCAAAAGTCCCAAAACAAATGTGTAATATTAAATTTTTGTCTTATCCTCTAGTGGAAAAAATGTCATGAACAGTCTGTTTTCTTTATTCTTTTATTATATTTGTACAAGCCTTTTCTTTACCTTGTTACACAGTCACTCAGATTGCTTTCTCAGTGAGTTCTATCGAGGCAAGTTCATACCCAATATAAAGAGTGTTCTCTTCCGCAGATCCTCTCTTCTGGAACAGCTAGTGTGTGTCTCTGCTTTACCAATAGCTTTTGATTTTGGATTCACCAATGTAACCTGAGAGAGACCTCAATTACATTTTATTATCATTCAAGAGTATGAAATCAAATCTGTGTTCTTCATCTCAACCCAAATCTTTGAAAAGCATAGGAAAGCTTTCCCATGCTCAGGCTTTTTAGGCTTATAGTATTTTGAGCATGTCAATCTTTTGGCAAGGGCCGTTTTTGTACATAGTGAAGGGGTCAGGTGGAAATTTTCTTCCTTTTTTGGAAAAGCTGAGTTAGTTGGCTTTTAGTTATTACTTTGAAAAGAAGCTCATGGAATTTTATTTAGAATAATATTAAAGATGAATGTATCTAAAAGATATATAGATTCTGTATTTGGACAACATCTGTAAGTCTTTCTTTCAACAGGAAATGGTATTTTGCATCATCATTTTTGTAGAGTTAATAATTTTTGTCAGGTTGCTAGGACTGTCCTTATGCTTCCATCTCCTGGAACTCTCAAAGGAAGCCACTGTGTGACAACAGTTTTTTGAGTGGTGTTTGTCTTTTTACTTCATGTGCGACCTTTATTTTTCCCTCTCAAGTGTTGAGCTATGTTTGGACCTGGGTGACCATCAACAGACAGTAAATATTTTTTGTAATAAAGGCCTAACCCAGTACTATCCTTTCTTTGGCAAGCTTGCTAGTAAAATTGCATCAAGCTACTTTTGTTAATTTTAGAGAAATTTAAACATGTGGGGGGGGGGGGGGGTTTTCCAGGTTTACCCACAAAAATAACTAAGATGCTATCATGTGTTAGGAAAGTTGCGGGAATACTGGAAATCCAGTTAGTGTTTTAGCATAATTTTAAAGAGATGCACAGTTCTTTATTGTATTGCTCTTTTTTGCTATCCCTTCTTAAATAGTAATGTAATATAAAAGTTAGAAATACAAAAAAGAGGAATCACAAAGAGTAGGGTAAGATGCAAATAAAGTCATATAAAGAGAGATAAAAAGGAGAAATATTTATTTAGGGAAAAGATGTGGTAAGGAACATTATAGAATTTTATAGTAACCACTTGAAGGAAGTTTTCCCTTTATGTTTTAGTGTAATAAAATGTAAAGAGAATGTCCAATAAATTTAAGGAGTAAATTTAAATCTGATTAATGGAATAATTGTTTAACATAGTACATAACTCATAGAACTTGTTAGAAGTTATTACTGAGACAAAAAAAATTATTAAAAATAGTAAATTTCATTACCAATTTAAAAAATCCAATTTCCAACATTCAGCATAAGACAAAATTTGTAAGAATGTTAGCTTTGAGCCTTAGCATAGAAATAGCCAGAAACGGCCTGTTAAAGCCTCATGCATGTGTTTGTCTACATCATGTACCAGCAAGAAGTGAAGAATTCACGTGTGTTCCAGTGTTGTGTGACAGATCTGCCTTATTTTGAACTGTGAAAAATGGACAGTTCCTATGAAGGAATTCTGCAGGATAGGTTGGTTTTATGCCATTTCTCCTTCCTGCTATTGAGCTGTACGAGAATTGCTGTCACTCTTTGGTCCATTCCTTTGACAGATGAAAATTGGCATAACTTACTAGGAGCAAGTGGAACTGTTACAATTCACAGTAGCTAAAATTCTTTGTTTTATTTTTTGTTCATCTTGAAATTGTACATAAAGAAAGATTTTTCTTTAAATATCTTTGAAGAAATTAGGTATAAAATAGGACTTTTCTAACTGAAACTGAAGTATTTTTCTGCTGGCAAACAGTTCAGTTTTATTTTAGGATGTACCTCATTTTGCTTGAAAAAATGCATGTTATCTAGTTTATTTTCCCCCTTACAAAATTGGTTATATTTTCAACTTTGTAATAAAACAGTGATACTGCAAAGACTTAAGTTCAGACATGGGTTTGCATGTAAAGTTAAGCTCCTTGAATTCAAACTGAAATAGAAACCAAACCATTCTAGTGTGATTTTTACTGTCTTCAGCAGTGTTTCATGCCTGGTGTCTAATCAAAGAAACAACCAGCTAGATTTTATGTTGCTAGCTAGAAACTGGCTTTTCGTTCATGGTCTACTGGTCAACTACTTGAAAAATGAGAATATATTGCACTATTACATGGTGAACTGTGAGTATTTAGAATCTAATATTTCTTCTTTTGTTTGCTTTTTAAAGAATCCGTAAGTTACCTAAAGCACTGAAGGAATGGCAAGCTTTTCAAGACCTAAAAAAGAAAATTGACGACTTCACAGAGATCTGTCCTTTGCTTGAAATGATGGCAAACAAAGTATATTCAGCATGATAATTTACAGATAAGATTTGCTTGAGAAACTGTATTTAAGATTATGTTGTAGATGCTTCCCACAATTCTTTGTTGTAGATCAAAAAAGTTTTATTTATGGCAAAAAGTCAGTTAGGATTTGTTATAGAAAAGTAAAACAGAAGACTTAATAATGTGATTAGAAGAATTATTAATGCTTTAAATGGAACGGAGATCAAGACTGTTCTGATTTTGTTTAACAGTTGCAGTAGAAAACTATGTGATCATTTCAATCCTAAAAATAATATAGGTTTTAAAAATCTTCCCTAATTCCTATGGATTTTTCCAGGCAATGGAGTCACGACACTGGGAAAGAATTGCACAAGTAACTGGCCATCGCTTTGATGTTCTCTCTGAAAATTTCTCTTTGAAGAACGTAATGGATGCCTCATTATTAAAACATAAAGAAGATATTGAGGTATGTATGCTTTTCTGTTTTTTTTTAATGATTGGCTTGTGGTCTGGGATTCTGCATTTTTAGAATGCTGTGTTTCTGGTCAGCTTTGTAATGTAAACAAATTTGACTGTAGTTGGAGAATCTCTTTGAAGAGTCGAGTTTGGTAGCCGATACTAGCAATGACGGTTCATTTATTTTCTTTTGTCCTGGTGTAGGTTTAAATAAATAGCAGGAATTCTGCTGTTTTAAGAGTGCTTCCGTCATGCTTCTTTTTTAAAGTCTGCCTATTTACATTTTTTTTCTTCCTTTTAAATGCCTCACCAGAGGGGGAAAAATAGTTGACTTAAGTCTGATCTTGTTAGCTGCTCAAAATCCTTAGTTTCTTTGGAACACAATAGAAATGGAGGATATAGGATTAAAGGAGAACAGGGTTCTTTTGTTTTTCAAAATTGACTCTTTTTACAAGAGCAGAGAGAGAAATGAGAAGGCTTGCACAAAGGGTACAAAGCTATTGCTGTCTCCATTTTGAGGACGATTATTATCTAGTAAGTGTATTAGCTTTATGCTATTGATACCTTTTGCAAGAAAAAAATCTATCTAAAAATAAAGAGGAAAAAACCCAGCAGTTTCTAACTTCAGTAGTGTTGTGAATCTGTTAGCTAGGTCTGTGATCCCTCAATAGCAGTGATCTGATTTATCTTGTTCCAACAAAGGAATACTTCTAAGACAAAAACATTAAATCAAATCTCTGCTGTATACAATTTCCAGACAAGCATTTCAGGCTTGTGAAAGGTTCAGCATGATTGTCTTGCATTCACGGTAAGACTTTAAACCTGTGATGGCATCGTTACGCTCTTGAACCTGAATTTAGGGTAATCCAGTCTGAGCATCTGCTCCATTTCTCTCAGACGTAATAGCCAATTTTATGACAGTCCTGTCTTTGCTGTCTTCAAGAAGCAGCAGAAGGCCATATTGCCCACGTACACTCTATTCTTGGACAGTTTCCTCATTTTGATTGGTAATATATATTTCTCCTAATCCCTTCAGTGTGCCAGAGAATTTAGAGGTGTATTTGCCTTCAAATTCTAATACATACAGAGAGGCAAATTTTGCCTCCAGTTTCACTGAGTTAGTGAACTTTGAAAAGTATGAAAAGACTAAGTGTCAGTGAAGATGGAGTATAGCCCTTAAAATATTCCAGTTAAAAACAGTGCTGTAACATAATCTAGTGTTCTAATATAATAATTTTGAGATGTTTCAAAGTATATTTTCATTAGCTGCAAATCACACTGAAGTCTAGATCTGGCTGATGAATTTTAATTGGCTTTATGAGTGTGTGCATGTATATTAGCCTGAAAGGAATATCACTTACTAGTTTAATTTTAAATAGGATGTCTGCATCGGTGCCCTTAAAGAAAAGGATATTGAAGCAAAATTGAAGCATGTCATTAGTGAATGGAATACTCAGGCTTTTACTTTTGGCCAATTCAAAACTCGAGGAGAACTCCTTCTGAAGGGGTCAGATATACTGGAGAAAATAGCTTTGATGGAAGACAGCCTCATGATATTGGGCTCACTCATGAGTAACAGGTACAGAAATTAAAAAATACAAATATTGTCTAAATCTAATCAAAACCAATAGTAAACAACCTTCATGTTAGAGTTTTTTTCCCCTTTAACTCATGTTTGTGCAGGTATAATGCACCATTTAAGTCCACTATACAACTGTGGGTCCAGAAGTTGACCAGTACTGCAGAAATAATTGAAAACTGGATTTCTGTACAAAACCTCTGGATTTACCTTGAAGCTATTTTTGTTGGTGGAGACATTGCAAAACAGCTGCCTCAGGTGTGTTGATTTATGATAACAATATGTTAATAGCAATATGTTTTGTCAAGACATTAGCCGCATCACAGAATTTACTTGCAGGTGCATCTAATGATATTAAAGTTGTGGGCAGTTCACAGTGAGTTTTGCCAGACTAAGGTCTATCTGGTCAAACCACTTTAGAACTTAGTCAAACTTACAGAAACAGCACTGTATATAATTCAGGATGAAATGTCTTTGTTAGCTTGCCATATTATTGAGTCATATGATAGCATGGAGATCAGTATTACCTAATAGGACAGGATGGATTTATCCCTTCTCCCATATTTGTAAGCCCCTCTCTCTCTCTCCTTAGGGGCATGTGTTTATAGGCTGTAAGTTAGGTAATAATGCAATGACAAATTTCCTTTATGAATCCTATCCTTGATAGGATTCAGCATAAAGTCTCACAAAGGGATTCTGTGAGACTTGGGTAGCCACAGGTATGGTAACGTGTGTGAACTAATATAACATCTTCAAAAGTCAGTTATGCCCCTTCCATGATGGCAGTTACTAGAAATCTAAGAAATGATCTGACTTTCTGCAGGATAGAAATAGCAGAACAGTCATCTTCTGTTACCTGTTTCCTAATGCCAGGCTTTCATATGGATTTAATACCGCAGAATTTAGTACACTGCATACTGCATTTCGTTCACTGCATAGTACACTGCATCAACCAGTTCTATAATTTATCAAAACCAAGACTATTCTCAAATTATTAAATACAGATGTTTTTCAGGCCACATGTTTTCCAATTAAAGGTTTACAGTTTCCAAAAATAACATTAATTTTTGTAATCTAAGTAAAGCCTGCTTAACTCTTATTTAAGATAATACATTTTTTTAGTTCATGAGATATATTTATATTGTTAATGTTTATCAGAGAATCAATAAGCAGCTTTTGCAGGTGAACAGATAGATACCAGAGCACAGCTGAAGCATTTGGTAAATGCTGTAGCAGTTATTTTGTCAGGATGATACCTGAAGCCATAGTCTGGAAAAAAGCAATTGTGGTGACTACCTTTAAAGAGGGAAGAGAAGGAAGAGCTTTGTGGTGGGATAATCATAGATCAGTCAGTTTATTTGCAGTTCCTGGATGAATACTGAGTAATCAAGGAGTTTGTGAGCATGTAGAAGTTAACAAGGAAATGAGTAACAGTCAACATGGATTTGCCGGGAACAAAACATGTCAGATGAATCTAATCTATTTTTAGAGTGGGCAACAAGCTTTGCAGATAGAGGAGAAACAGTTGTCATATATTTTGATAGGCTTTTGACACTGTTTTCATAATCTTATCAGGAAATGAGTTTTAGATGAAACTACCTGAGCAGTCACCGATCTTGCTGAAAAATTTAGAGCTTTACTGTTGTTTATTAAAATGTTTACTAAATTATCAAAAAGAAATAATGTATTTATTCATGTGGACACAAAGGTCCATACTGGGTTCTATACTGTTCAGAATTTTTGTGAATGATCTAGATGATGAAAATAGAGATGATGCCTATTGAATGTGAAGCTGGGAAGGACAGTGAGTAAGCTGAAGGGAAAGATCAGGTTTCAAAATGATCTTGCAAGGTTAAAGAAATGACTTTAAAAATAGGATTTAATACAATATAGACAAATGAAAAATATTACACAGATGCAGAAATCATAAATTGTACAAGTACATGATAGGAAAAACTGGCTAAGGAGCAGTTCTTTAGAAGAGGAGCCAGGAGTTATAAGGGATGTGAAAGAGCCAGTTGTGCTATTATGTAAAATGCAGACACAAAAGTGGAACGTATTAAGAGAAGTAACCAATAACTAGAATATGGTACCCAATTTTGGCTAAAGAAACACATAGATGAATTTGAGAAAGTATGGAAGAGGATGACAAGAATAAGGAGTTACCTGTGGAGCATGACATACAGGAAAAGATTCATCAAACTGGGCTTGTTTGGCTTGAAGGAGAGGAAAGCTGAGGGGAAGGCCTGTTAAGTTTTCATATGTATAAAGGCTGATCTCAACAGGAAGAGAGCAATATGTTCTCTGTATCCCTGAATATGATGAGAAGTAATTGACATACACACAAGAAAGATTTATATTAGATATTAGAACAGAGTTTACAAGTAGCAAGGATTGCCTGGAGAGGCTTCTGAATTTCCAGTTTTGAAGGTCTTTAAACACAAAATGGACAGATATTTGTTGAGAGTGACATGAATATGGTCCTGTCTTGTGACAGGGAAATAGACTTGGATAATCTTTTGAGATCTTTTCTAGTCCTCTGATTCTTTAGGACCCAATTAACATTTCTTCTGTTGTAGGAGAAGAAAGCTTTGAAAGTCAGTATATCCAACCTAGAAAATATTTATTCTTCATTTCTTTCAGTATTTGAGAATTTGTCTCCCTTCACTTACAATACTTTATAAGTGGCAGTTTCAGAGTATTTATACTGTTTTTTTTTGTCAAGTATCATCACTAACAAGGTATTCCTCATAACTTGTGTGGAATAGCCATTACATGACATTCAGTGTGTCACTATGAGGAAAACTATTATTTGTGTGAAGGCTGATGTTTGAGTTTTCTAATGTGTAGTGTGTTGGAGTCCTTTTATACAGACAATTTTGGTGCCCAACATTAAGCAAAAGACATTTCCAGAGCTGCCCCATTGGACTCTGTCTTTTGCAATTTGAACTTTGGCCATTGGAATCATGTCTGTAAGTATTCACACATTATGCCTACAGAAGGAAATCTCCAAAAAAGACTTGAGAGACAAAAGGGATGTTAAACTGGTACCTTGTCTTATGGAATTTTTTAATTTCTATAATTTGATGAACATGAGCTAATGCATTTTTCATGTACTTCAGGAAGCCAGAAGATTTCAGAACATTGATAAATCGTGGCAGAAAATTATGCAGAAAGCCCATGAAACATCAAATATCGTGCAGTGCTGTGTTGGAGATGAGACGCTAGCACAGCTATTACCACATTTGCTGGAGCAACTGGAAATCTGTCAGAAATCACTAACTGGATATTTGGAAAAAAAACGGTTAATATTTCCAAGATTTTTTTTTGTATCTGACCCGGCTCTTCTGGAAATTCTTGGTCAAGCATCGGATTCCCACACTATTCAGGTACAAGTAATAAAGCAATAATGTTCTCATGGTTAATATTGCTAAAGTGAGGACTGTAGAAGGTTTCCTGTTATCTAGTGAGTGAACTTCTTTCACTTGTAGAAAGATCTATAGAATCTTCTAATGCAGAATTTAAAGGCAGACTAAGAATGACATATCAGATCAGCTTATGGAGCTTATTTTATTTTTCTGATTTTATTGTAGGCACATTTATTAAGTTTGTTTGACAATGTTAACCGAGTGAGATTTCATGAAAAGAACTACGACCAGATTTTATTGTTTGAATCTCAAGAAGGAGAACAGGTCAATATTATTGAACCGGTTTTAGCTCAGGTAAAGGAAGTGTATTACACTTTTTCATGACCTGATTTAAAGCAGATTTATGTTGTAGAGACTGACAGTGTTGCCTCGTGTTATTGAGTAGCTGAGTGAAAGCCTTCAGATGTGAACAGCGAGAGCAAACTGCGGAAAGGGTGGAACGCTTGTGTAATTAGGTAACGATTACTTCAGCTGTTTTTTCAGCAGTACTGATGTGAAATGCCAAATCCATCATGTACCTCTAGAAGGCCAGCTGAGCACAAGAAGAAGAAGAAGAATCTTTTAAAGATCAGAGAATAATGAAGAGGGAAATGGGAGCACCAAGACTAAGGACTGGAAAAAGAAGTCACATAGGGCTTTTGTCCTTGTGAATTATGCATGAACTAATTCTTTAAAAGTGTTTTCTTGTTTATTTCAGGGAAATGTGGAACTCTGGTTAGGTCAGCTGCTGAATGGAATTAGGAAAACAATCCACATCATCATTAGACAGGCATTTATAGCCATTAGCAACTCAGGATTTAAGCTGTATGATTTTCAGGCAATGTTTCCTGCACAAGTAGGACTCCTGGGAATTCAAATGATCTGGACCAGAGATGCAGAAAATGCACTGAACAGTACCAAAACAGACAAAAAGGTAGTACTTAATGAATTTTTGGGGATTAAGTAAAAGCATTGTTTAGGACAGTAGATAATGTGAAAAGTTAATAGTGAAGTGTAGGAAAAAGCACAACATACTAATGAAGTAATCAGAATGACAAGTAAACTAACAGGAAAACAGAATGATAAAAAGTCTTAAGGGATCACACCTCCCTCCCCACCTCCCAACATGAGCTTTTAAATAGTTCTTTATCCCATGATTTTTCCATATGTTCTGTCAGCACAGCCAGCACAGCCAACACAGCCACAGTCTGGGGAATATAGGTAGTCTCATCCTATTACCTTTCCAGCATGAGATTTGGAAAAAATTAGGAGCCCTCTGTATTTGGGGAAATAAATGTGCTTCATGGGCATTGGTCTACAGTAACAGGGAGTATTAGATTCTTCAGTTGGTGAGCTCTTTCTTCAGGGGAGGGAAAGAATAGTAGGCATTCAGGGAGATGCTAATTCAATCTCAAACACTTGCTAACACCAAGGTTTTTTTAATAACATTCAGTCTATGAGGGAGGAAGGAGAGGGTATGAACTAGAGAGTTTCAAATTATCATTAATTAACAATATACAGTAAGACTGGGCTAAGAACCAGTAACACCATCCTACCATAAAAGTAAATGTAGGGGAAAGGTAACATGCTATACTTTGATACTTAATTGAAAGAAAAACTCTAGTCTGAGGAGACCATTTAGTGCTATATTTTTTACATAGTACAAGATTTACATGGGCATAAACCTCTGTCTATTCCATTCAGGTTCATATTGTAATTAGACTCAAAAATGCTTTTGCATGACCTAACAGCATTTGTTCACTTGGGTCGAAGTGTGTGTGTGTGTGTGTTTTGGGGGGTGTTATTTCTGCATTCGTGCTGGAGTGGTTTTTAAGTTGTTTCTCAGCATAGAACACGAGCTTTAAGATTGCATATACTCATGGAAAACTAGTATGATCATTGCCTCACATATTTGGAATAGGAATTTATATGAGCTGTCTTTTCTGAGACCTCAGCCCTCTATACTTTGTTGTGTACCAGGAAAGTCACTGACAGAGGCTGATGCTGTTTACCTAAGTTGATATTATTTTCCATGGAATTTTGTAATAGAACAAAGGAAATGATTATTTCAGGCAGTGATATTTAAAATTACAGTAGACTTGTTTCCTCCTTTGGTTAGGGGATGAGCTAGATCCTTAGGTTCATGTTCCCCCTAAAGAGATGATACTGGTTGAGCTGATGTGTGCTATTCAAAAGCAAACGTTGCTGGTTCTGAAAATATACAGGGATGCCATCAGCTAATGATATAATGTACAGTATAAGGGACAGCAGTCTTACAATAAAATCTTCTCATGTGACCTATTCACCTAGCTGTAACTTTATTGTACTTTGTAGAGCTAAGAATGCATGTAGCAGAGGCAGTCTGCAGATCTCAGTTGAGGCCTCCAGACCTAATAAATACAAAGCAGCAAACTGTTGGTGTCCTGGGCCCATATATTTGCAAAAGTTTTTTATTTTTTATTCTAAACACTGGAAGAACAAAAGTATTTGTATTAACATGACTGTTCTTGCTATGTGGAAAAGGTAATGCACACAACAAGTCAGAAGTTTTTGGGACTTTTAAATGATTTGATTGACATGACAACACACAATCTGACAAGAATGGAACGCACAAAATATGAAACTTTAATTACTATTCATGTACACCAGAAGGATATCTTTGATGATTTGGTAAGTTTCTGAAAATCTTTAAGAAACTTCCTATATGGAAGTTTCTGTATGTATAAAATAATTTATAAACAAATCTTACAATGTATTGTCTTTGAGTAGCTCTGACATTAGTACTATTATGTAGTGTATCTATTATATTTAGTTTGATTTTATATAGATGTCATGCAGAAATAAGGGTGAAATGTATACTGTTGATACTCCACATGCACAAGTTCCCTATGAGCAAAAGGTTTAACATTTCAAATTAAAATATTCTCTCTAATTGAAAATTTAATCCATTGTGTAATTGAGATGTAAAAGGAAAACAAGTTCCTTTAGTGTCAGTCTTATGATTTCTAGCATGACCTCTGTGTTGATTTTTAAGGTAGTAGTTGTTGAAAGATTTAAGTGGTGAGGCTCCATACATTTGAAAGTGTAACAACAGTAACCAAATAGATATTTTTAAATTGTCTTTTTACAATTGAGTTTCATCAGGCTTCTTTTAGATAAGTATTTTGAATGTATGAAACTATAATTAGAAGCATGGAAGTAAAATAACTTTTAAAAAACTTTGCATCATGCAATAGTCAACGATTCAATCCAGTATTGTTTAATTTATGTATATATGTTAGAAAGATAAATATTAAATGCATGTATAAAGAAAGATAGAAAATAGTAAAGAAAAATACTGAAAGTTAAGTTAAGTTAACTTCAAAGTTAAGCATGGGGCTATATCCTCAGACCATAACTTTTAATTCATTTTCATAATTATTTCCTGAATTGGACATTTCAACATCAATTGATTTAGTGCCATATTACTGTAAAATTAAATCACAGAAGCAAATTGGTTAAATTTTAAGGGAAATAAAAACATCTGATAAGAAAAATCAGGGACAAGCCCAAAACTGGGGAAAGTATCCTTGATTGGTACATCTATTATTACTCCCTTTTCTCAAAGCATTCTTTCACCAGCTAAACCTGTCTTTTTGTGATTGAGAACAAGTACAGAGAAGTGGGTGAGAATACAGCAAAGACCGGAATAGACCTGAATATGGCGAGGATATTTTTGGCAGAGATCAGGCAAGCAGAGAACATATGGCACAAATGTACCTCTCCTTCAGCTTAAATAGACCATGTCTGCAATACCAAAAAGTAAGATTGCATACTGGTGGATTTGAGGTCACGTCATCACATGTATCAAAAATCATGAATCAAGATGTATTAATCTGCCACAAATATGAACATCTGTGTGGCAATTCCAACTGAAAAATACATGCAAAATAAACCAAAATGTAGACATACATACAATAAATTTGAGCTTTGTCCACTATTTAATATTTCTATGAATAATGGCCATGATACTATGCCATGTAACCAATATTAATAGTCATTTTTTTAGTGGAGCTTACCATCATTGTTGTTCAACATCTCTGTAGTACCCAATTAACAATCTCTGTGCACAGTTTGGATCAGAGCAAAAGAGAATGCTGGGTGTATTGACTCCTGTCTGATTCTGTCCTCATTCCTCTAGCTCTTGCTATTTGAATTATGCATATCAGACGTTTCCTCTATATGGAGAACAGAAGATGGATTGCAATACTTTTTCTTTTCTGTATTAATGATTTTTCTCTTCCATTATAGGTTCGTATGAACATTAAATCTCCATCTGATTTTGAATGGCAAAAACAGTCTCGATTTTACTTTCTTGAAGACCTGGACAAATGCATTATCCAAATTACTGATGTAGAGTTCACCTACTGCAATGAATACTTAGGGTGTACAGACAGACTTGTTATAACTCCTTTAACTGACCGGTAATCATAAAAGGATTGCAGTATATATCACTGGGGCTAAGACTTAATTCCATTAAGTTTCATGAGAGTCAGAATTCTTACTTTGGTATGTACTATAGTATTGCAGTATCGATGCTGAACAGCAGAAGCTAGTGCTTATGTATTCAGTTAGGGAAAACAGGCACCTGTAAGGGGGGCCCTGACTTGTCTTCGAATATTTGCTTGGAACAAATGTGCTGTGGCAGACATTGAAAAACTTGTGCTCAAGGTAAGTACAGTTGAATGCTATACACTTCAGCAGCCTAAACAGAGTGGATATACAGAACAGTATGCTGCTGCATTCAGTAAACTGGTGGTTGCATCTGAATTTGGAATTATTGCAAATGAAATCATTTGAAGTTACCTTAGAGGAAAAAGCAGTAAGTCAGGACATAGCATCAAATAACTAGCATAAATATAGTTTAAAGCAAGGCCTATGGAGAATTACAGGACTGCAAACAGAAACACAAGCTCTGTGAGCAAAATATAAGGAGAACTTTCTACTGCTGGAGAGTTCTAGAGCACACTACAAACTGTATTAGATGGATATTTTCCTGAAGTACTTGATAATGCTTTACCTAAGCAAAAGATAAACGAATTCATCATGCTAGAGCTTGTTGTTTTCAATGTGGATGGAAGTAGTGTCAAAATACTGTGCAGCCTCAGACATGTGCTGTGTGAAGAATATTCACAGGCTATTGAATTAATGTTGGAATTGTCTTTGCAGTCTCTGTACTACTAGATTTTATTTACTAGTGAAATTTCAGACTTTTGCAACTTACTGACCCAATATTTTTGCCCCGTGAGCCAAATCTCTTTGCTTGGTTACCTACATAGAAGTGTGACTTTTAATATATAACATACACCTGCCAAATTCTATATTATGTACCCATAATTCCTGCTATATAGAGACCTGTTTGCAGCTGTAAGCGTGCAAATGATTAGTGGGCCTGCACCACTACCATGCAGGCAATATTATTGCCCACTAGGAGAGGCAATATCAAGAAAACAGTGTCGTTCAAAATTTGTTCTGATAACTAAAATCTGTTCTAATTGGTTAGGGATTGTTCAAGGTGCTATGTCACAGGAGAGTGAAAGCTAGCACAAGGTGAGATCATTGAAGAAAATGAGTCTTCTGAATGAGTTTAAGCTGTAATAATAAAACAAAACTATTTTTTCTTCAGAAAAAACAGAGGTATTTGTCTTTGGACAAACCTCTACAGGAGCCAAACAAGAAGTGCATGATTGGTGGCTATCCACTGCTGTATACAGAAAGAGCATTTGTGGAACTCCATGAAGCAAGGATGTTTTCCAGCCTTAGCACAGGGAACTTATATCCATAAGTAATGTTGCATAATAACAGAATTTATTACACATAGTGGACTTTTTCCATTTTAACATTTACCGAAAAATGGACTTGTATCACCTTCTGACAATTTTCAGGAAATAATATCTGTGCTTTTCATTAATCAACTTGAAGTCAAGTGCTGTTTGGCTAATGATTTTGTGTTCAGAAAGATTCCTGAAGCACATGATAAATACGTACTGGCTATACTACAATACAGTAACACAATAGGACTGATACTGCTTGCTCCTAAACATCGTGTGAGACGCAAAATTGTGTTTTCTTGAACATTAAATTTCTGCAGTATACTAAACCTGATGCAGACCATGTCACGGCAGTTAAAAAAATTAAAACAAATGTTATTTTCCTTAGGACTTGCATCATATGTGTTTGTCCTTACCTCAGTTTCAGTAACAGAATTGTTAGGAACATTTTTTTTTCATAGTTAACTGAGTGCCTGTTAACTGGTTACTGAATATTAAAATGATAAAACGCTATTACTGCTATTATGTTAAAATGAGTACATTTTAATGAGTACATTTTAAAATGAGTACATTTTTTCCATTTTATGGGAAATGATATTAGCTGGTATCATCTATTCCTTTTTCAGTGCTGATTACCTTCTTCCCCTCCCCCCCACTCCTCACCCAGATATACCATAAAGCCATCAAGTATCACAATGTTAAGAGACTCGGGCATGGCCTTACTGAGATTTTGGAGGGTTGCAGGTTTGAACAGCTGTCTTCCTACAACCTTCATTTGTCTCCACTCTCTCTGGGGAGGCTGAGACCAACCCTGGAGATGTTAACCTAGGATGGAGGCTGAAGCAAAAGATGGCTCTTCTTTCTCCATTGCCAATTACAACCATTTTCCTCTCATCCATTTTCCTCCTGGAACTCAAACACCTCACACGTCTGGCAGTATTACTCTGGTGTGGCATGCTGGTAGGGAAAGGGCAAAGATAAGAGCTGCTTCTAGCCTCCATGCCTTCCTATTGCCAGATTGATCACAGAGGCCATCTTGTGTACTCTGGGGAGAGAGTTGGTGATGGGTAAAAAAAAAAAAGGGAGAAATAAAGCAGATCTAGGTGGTGCAGAATGAGTGTGAGTCATGGCAGTGAGGCATATGAGTAGGATGAGAATACCACGATACTCTGGTATTGTGATTTTGGTATTATTTGGCATTCAGAATTACTCTGGACTCTTCCTGGATTGTTACAGTCATCGCTGTGCTACAAGCATGCTTGTCTGCTGACGGAGTAAAGCTGGTATCCGTTAACCCAGCTTCACAACATGCAAAGGCAGTGACTGAGGGCTTACCGCAAGGAAGCACACTCATTTCTGCTCCTCTCCCCAGCTTTTTATGATAGAGCTCCTGTGGTTACATGCATGGACTTCAACTAATTAACAGTGGAAGGAGAGTAACAGAGCTGTCTGTTCTGTCTCTAGGTGTTATATCACTCTGGCACAGGCCCTGGGCATGAGTATGGGTGGTGCACCAGCAGGACCTGCGGGAACAGGGAAAACAGAGACAACTAAAGACATGGGCAAATGCCTGGGAAAGTATGTTGTTGTTTTCAATTGTTCAGACCAAATGGACTATAGAGGATTGGGCCGTATCTATAAAGGTAAGAAATAATTTGGTTTATTCATTTTAGAATCACAAGTTTTTGTCTCCTCTCTAGTGAGTTAGCACATGATTTACCAATGTGTGTTTTCTTCTCTGTTTTCTCCTTGAAGCAGAGTCAGTTCTGGTGGTTGGAAGGAACTCGGCCCAAAGCAGAATGATTTTTGTGTTCTGCTTAATCTCTACTTTTCAATTTTTTTCCTTTTTGCCTTTACCTTTCTTTTCTGTGACCTCTTCCCTTCCGCATTCCAGTTCTGTTTTATCCCCTCCTTCCAACCCCTACCTTCCTCTCTCTTTTCCTCTGCCTGCCACATTGTCTTTTAACATTCATCTTGTCTTTAAATACTTCATTCTATCTACCATCTTGTGCCTTTTCTTCTGCATTTCCTCTTATTTCCAGCTGCTCACCAGCTTTTCCTGTTATTTGATTGTTCCTCTTTTCTTTTCTTCCTGCATACTTTCTAGTCTTTTTTATGTCCTCAGAGGGTGTTTCCTATTTCTATGTCAAGCAAGACAAACAAATCCAGAGGGAAATATACTAAATGATGTACTGTCTTATTTCAAACTCTAAAACTTTTTTGAAACATGGAAAATGAGATATTGGTCAAACTCTGATAAATTTTCATGACAAGTAGAGCTCTGAGGTCAGTTCTGCAAGCAGATGTGATGGTTAGATATCTGTGGACTTCATTATGTCTCTTTCTGCTTTTACAGTGAATGTGTTGGTTATTTGCACTGGTAGACAATAGTACACCACAATTTTCTGAAGGTTAAAATATAGCAATTCCTGAAGGTTAAAATAAAACATGGAGATCATTCCTATTTTTAATTAAGCAGCCAGGAAAGCTGGCCAAGATTTTAGTAGAAATAACTTTTATAGCTACTTTTGTCTTTGACTTCTAATTTAAAAGCTCAACTGAAAGATTAAGAGTATCCAGTTAAGCTTTCAAACAGAGATAAAAGCCTGAAAGTTATGTCAGGTGTGGATTAGAAGGATTTTATATTTTAATTGTGAAAAGATTTTCTGTCTTTTCTCTCTTACCTCCTCTGTGATCTTACAGGGTCTATGTGTGGCTGAGTTAGGTCAAGAAGACCAATTGTGTATATTTGGGAAGAATTAAATTAAAAGCAGTGCTTATATTGACTTCACTGGACTACCTTTCTTCCTCCTAATCCTTTTGTTCTTTTGTAGACACTTTTGAGGCCTCATTGACTTGTTGATTATCTTTAATGGCCATATCAAAAAGAGAAAACAGAAAGGAGTAGAACAGAGAAGGAGGAAAAAAAAGGAAAGAAAGATGGAAACAGCTTATAATGTTTTTTCAGTCATGGCTCTGAAGTTCGTGGGTGTTTGTGAATTCTGCAGAAGGCCCTGCTTCTCACTCATTGAACATCCAAAAGATTAGCACCATTTATAGGAACATGAACACAGATACGGACAACCATTTCCATGCTTGCATTGTTTGCCTCAGCCAGCTACCGTCATCCCCCGTTTCTCTGAACTATGAGCCATGACAGAAATTTGAGCTTTGAAAAAGCACTCATATCTCTTAGTTTATTTATTTATTTATTTATAAATAAATAGAGGATTTCACAGTTGGAGTTGCAGTAAGGGGCCAGTTTGGAGCAGGCAGGACAGCTGAAGAAGACAGTAAAGTAGACACTGCTACAGAAAGAGAGGATAAAATGCTCCCTGCCAAAGCAACCCTATCATTCCACTACCAGGAATTTGAGGAAGTGCAGCTCTTATTTGGAAGCAGCAGATGGCAGAGGTAGTGGCAATCTTTAGCCCTTTTGAGAGTTCATTCCTCAGTCCTAAACTGGTCCCAGATGAAGAGCCCACTCTTCTAGCTAGAAGTTCTTCTGTGACACAAGAACAGAGACTGTGATCACAATCTTCATTTAAAGTGTTAGGTGGTCTTTCAGCTAATCTTTTAGCTTTAGCTTTGATCTTTTTAGCTGAATGCAGGCATTCACCACCTTGGAGAAGGCTGAATGTGGCTTGATATTCCTTTGATCAGTGAGAGCAGAAGACAAGTTTCACAGTATCCCATTAAATCACACTGCAATGTGGGTTAAAGTTTCCTAGAAGCTGATCACTTTTGTGCTGAATATATTTCATTATTCTAACCCTTATCTGAGGTAAATACTGTGTATATCACCAAGGCCAGATCATCACTTGTTAAGAGAAAACATAGTCAAGCTATGGAAAGCTCCTCTTATGTCTGAGTTTATATAATATCAAATAAACTGAGTAACAGTTCTGAGCTAGAAACTGAACTAGATGTGTGTGTGTGTGTGTGTGTGTGTGTGTGTGTGAACATCTTCAGTCAAGGTCACAAGTTTCTCAAAGTGCCTCTTGTACCAGATCTTTGGGACAACTTTTAGTTGGGTGTCTTTTATCATGCGTGAGGACTTAAAAGCATAGTTACGTACAGCTTTGGGTTTTCCAAGATTATCTTACGGATAATAAACACAGAAGTGGGCAGGGACCAGTTTGCTGTATGGCTAAGCACTAGCATGCTTGTAACCCCAAGCGCAGTCATCCAGTGGGTGTCCACTGTGCATGGAGTCATCAATCAGGAGGAGAAACGCCAACCTCCATTTCTGCTTAGAGTGGATTTATCTTTGATCTAACTGAGCTTTTGTCTTTTTCCTCTATACTTCTTCTGTTAGAGTGTTTGTATCTTTTTATGTTAGCACCTTTTTTCCTGACTCCTTGATGATTTCAGTTCTTTGTGTTAAACTGTTACTGATTCACATCAACTCAGCAATCTCACCTGTGTATCCTTTCTTCATTTCTGCTTTCTTATCTTGAGCAGTTTAGTAGCTTACATCCTCTCTCATTTCAGATTAAGGTGACAGTAATAGCTGCAGCTTGTCCTTGTCTTCTTTTAGTAAAACTGGGCATGATTTCTGTGTCTAAGAGCATTGGGTCAGTTTTAGGCTGAGCTTCCCTTGTCTGCTGTTTCTCTATAAGTTGATCATTTTTGGTGTAGTAGTGTAATCATATGTAACAAAAAATAGGTAATGCTATGTGAGGTATCCTTGTTATCTAGTTGGCTCACTTAATGGTATGCTGATGTTTGATATGAATTAGAAAAGACGCTAACAGAATTTGACAAATTGAATGGTTGAATGATGACCGTGATGCCTATGACTGCTTGCTGAGAATTTGCTACTGGGATGTTGGCTTGCTTCTCTATGAATTTGTCTGGGAAGGAAATAACAGATCCAGCTGAACAAATCCTGAATAGGATGATTTTTTTCGGCATTCATCAGACTCTTTTGTGTTTGGAAGGAGAAGCAAGATGCTGTTCCTAAATAAGTCAGCTATTGGTGCTTTCATTTGTGAAGGGTACCACTTGCTCTGGACTTATCTTCACTACTTGGGAAGAGCCTGGTTTGGAATTATAGATTTTATGTTGAAACCTCTTTAAGAAATCTAGTATCTCTTGAAGAGTGGATGTATTAAATTCTGGGAAGGAAATGAGCTGGGTTTTAGTCTAATAGGGAGGAATTAAATGTGTTTAGAGAAAGATTCTTGAATGGAAAAGGATAGTTCTTCACAGCTGTAGGAGTGCTTTCATGCAGAGTGATAGGAAAGTTCTCATGAAACATATTACATTTTACATTTCTTAGGGTACACATTGAGAAATTCTTCAGAGTTCAGCATATCTGTGTTGGCTTTTCTTCTCCATCACCAATGTTTCCACTTCCAAACTTTTCACTTTATCTTGTGCTGTGGGTCAGGTTACCTGATATTAGCAAACTGAGCGGTGAGGAGAAAAAAAGGGGTGTAGAGATGATTTTGTCATGCCCGCACCCATGTTTCAAGATGTTTCTCTTTAAGGATGGTAATTCGGTCTTCAGAGTAGTACCCTTGAAAATATAAGTTAAAGTTCTTGTTGATTGAGAACTGAGGTTCTCTGTCTGTCTGTCTGTCTCGTTCCTCTTTAGCTCCAGCCATTCACAAGGAGATGGTCTAGGTAAGACATCCAAGGCTTGGATTTTCACCTGTGATAGCTTTGATTTTGAAATTTGAACTGAAAAGTAGGTTCAAATGTAACTGACCATCTAGGTTGGACAGAGAGAACCCGTGAAAGTATCCAAATTTTCTATCACTGATTATATTAAGTTCAGTGTTAAAATTGCCCAGGAATGGCAAGTCAGGGATGTTTCCTCACTTTCACTGAAGTGAAAGTTGCTGAATACCCTTTAGGAAACTTTTTATCTGTTGTTGTCTGTAAACGAATATGAAAACCATATTTGCTCTGTTTTCTCTAGTTAGAACTAGATAACTCTAGTCACTTGAGACACCCTTTTGTGATTTGATATTTAATGCAATATTTAATATAAGATTTGATATTTCTCTTAATTCAGAAGGTGAATAAAAGAGTTCTGAGAGCTGTAAATTCTTTCAGGAACACTGACTACCTAACTTGCTGTTTCTGGGCTGTACTTTGGCTCGCCAAAGTTCTATTTTAGAGAAATTTGCTTTGTATTATGGTGTTGGTGTTTTTGCACCCATGTGTAAAATCTAAAAAGGGTCACTGAGATGGAAAGGGACAAGGCACTGCATTGCAGATACGCATTTTTTAGGGCTTTCTTGGTGGGGCTATGCACAGGATAACTGTGTTATTCATATGCTCATTGTGTGAAGACCAGGTTGTAAGCTATTTGTTCTGATTTTGTTGGGGTTTTCACATTACTTAGACAGAGGGAAAGATCTCTCTACTCTTGTTCTTTACTGCTATTATCCTGTTTCTGAATTTGATTAACATACTACTACAGTATGACAATCAGTGCACAACAAAATTAAATTATCTCTAAGCTCCTGTGCAGCTGACAGTTTGCTTGATGTGCCTCTGTGTATGCGTGTGTGTTTTTTAAACACCACTGGAAAGTAATTATTTTGGAAGAACTGAATACACTCAGAGCTGTAGGATATTGGCCTTCCTTTATAGCCAGGTTTCCCAATTCTACCCAGCAGGTGGCATTACAAAACAAGTGATTTTTGTTTTTCTTTTCCCAAGGAAAAATTGTTCGGCTAGAACTGAATCTCACTATGCTATAGCAAGCATAATTTTTAAAATGTTTAGTTTACAGTTTATAAGTTACAATATTATATATAACAATGTTTGTTAAAGAATCTCAGGTTTTAGGGCTTTTCCATGTTGTGTTCTAAAGAGTAGATATTACCATTTAATAAAATTGCAAAAATACTTTATTTTTAGAATGAATCCTAATAGTCATGTAGCACATGCGGCAAAGAGGGCCAAATGTATTTGAAATATCTCTGCAAGATTTTTCCATTGAGGAGCAGCAACAGCGGAGCAAGACAAGCAGGGAGCTGAGGGTGGCCACACCACAAGCAGGGGCAGCAGCCTCCCTCACCCGAGTACCCCAGTACCCCCAGCGCCCAAGCAGAGCAGGTTGGAGACAGCTAGTTCCATGGGTTCCAGTGATCATCAGACAAGGTGAAGCAACACGCCAGGTCTGGGGGTCTGCTTAGGAAGTCTAGTCTGGAACAGCAGTAGGTAGGGCTTGGAGGTAAGACTACATGTAGGTCTGGGATCTTCCAGGATGTGCAGTCAGCAAGTCAAGATAACGTGAGATAGGAGGGGCACAGGCCTACTTACAACATAGCTCAAGCAGGGACTGAAGGCCCTGGGCTGAACTGAAATGGAGCTCCTGGAACCACGGGCAGGAGGTGAGTGGAGGCCCCAGAGGAGGCTGGTCAGGGCCACAAAGGCCTATTTGTACCCTCAGAGCCCTGACATTCTTCATACAAAAGGGAAAACATCAGTAAAAGGGCTTACTGCCACACCACTGGAGTCAGAGGACATTTTTTGGTTGTTTTTAAAGACAGTAGGGTTGAATCTCGTACGCTTTAAATTTTGTGCCTCTGTAGTAGTAGAAGTATTTTAATATTGCTTTATTATGATATTGTGGTATTTATAAATGTTCTATTTGCTTTTAAGTTTCAGAATGAAGTACATGTGACTTTTTATTGTCCTGATTCAGAGAATGATTTTTTTATGACAGATGTTAGTTTTAAGCAGTTTAGGAAAAGATTATTGCACATATGGAATTGCACTGAATTTTATGGGAGAACCATGGTCTTGCCCTGAATGGATCAAGTCTTAAGGAGCCAATTCTACCACTAGTGTTAGTGTGGCGTAACTTCACTAATTTTGTTGAAGAGTTATTGCAAAGTTACACAGGTAACAGACCAATCAATATAACATTGTTAAAAGAAGTGCTTCATGAGCATGAAAAAGGTAAAAATTGAAAGTAAGAATTATTTCCATTTTTCTTCTTTTTTTGCTATCCGCGAAAATTGACAGGTATTGATTTGACTATGATAGTTGATCGTGCACAATGTGAGACAGGGTAGAGGAGAAACATAAGGAGGAGAAAGATGAGAGTTCCTAGAGGAACATTGCAAAGAGCAAGAGAAGATCAGACAGAAGGAAGGGAAGAGGGATAGTAGAGCAGAACACAAGAAAGCGAAGAAAGAGAAAGGAAAGCAGGAAAATAGAAAAAATGAGAGCAAGAAGGAGTGAGAAAAAAATATCTATTAATAGTACAGTTACTGATTTTGAGTACTTATCCATAAGCTTAAATACTTTAAGGAATTAACATTACCTATGAGCCAGGCTTTTATTTATTTTACCAGTTCTACATGCATTGCATGTAAGGCTGAGAAGCTTTTGGGGCGATCTGGACATTAGGTAGCTCAGCTTTGCAAAACATAAATACCTTTTCTTGGACATGTGCTTTATTTCTGTTTTGCTCATCTGGGCCATATGTAGACTCTTAATGTTCCTTCTGCCCCTGCAGACTCTCCTATTGTAGTCCTGCTAATATGATACTGAAGGAGGAGGATGTGACAATCCCAAAAAACATTCATTTCATGACATTTATTGATACTAATATCTATATAGAGCTCTATGGCCTACTCCAAAGTTAGCTGTAAATATGACATCAGATTCCTTTCCCTTGAACAGCAGAATGCTATTTGCCAATGATTTTTGACCTGTGAGTTAATTATTATAAAATGCTACTATGGTGCCTATTGCAAATATAGTGATTTCTGAATTTGATCCCATGCTTTTAATTTAGTTAGGTGTCTCTCAAGGTCATCTTTGATGATTTGACACACTGCATAGATGAGTCTTCATGCTATGTGTGTGTTTACGCTTCTAGATGCTGTATATAATATTGATGAAGGCCCTCTATTGTTGTTGATGGTTGGTGTAGAAATGTAGGCTTCTCTGCAAAGATGTTTGTATATCTTTTTTAACAGGGTTTTTTCTTCTGAATATCACTAGTGCAGAGCAGCCCAATTTGTTCTGAGTTTTTAGTCCTTATTATGCTGTATTTATACCATTTCTTTTCCCATGTTACATTATGTTGTATATAATGTGCTGTATTTTACATACAAATTCTTCTTGTTTGGCCTGATATACTGTATTAACAAAATGTTTTTGTTTTTCCTTTCTTAGGTTTAGCCCAGTCAGGTGCCTGGGGTTGCTTTGATGAGTTTAACCGCATTGAACTTCCAGTTTTATCAGTAGCTGCTCAGCAGATATATATTGTACTTCAGTGTAAGAAAAATAAGAAACTTCAGTTCATTTTCACTGATGGTGATGTTGTAGCCATGGACAGAGAATTTGGCATATTTCTGACTATGGTATGTATTTTATGTGTGTGAGTCATAGTGGAAAATCTTTCCCGTGTCATTACCCATGAAAATACTCCTACTGAAATCATTGATGCTGTCCATTAGAGAACAGTGAACAGAATTTGACCAATAATTTGGTCAAATAATAATGATGATATTTTCTCTTGCCCTTATTTTTAGCAGGAACATAGGAATGATATATGCAGTCATCATTAACTACAAAATTTAAGGATTTTTTTAGCTGAATACTTCCAAAGTTGAGGCTAAAACCAACCATCTCATATTTTTAGTCAAAGACTGCCAAAATGAACACTGTTGACACTGTGAGGTCTACAGTAATTTGTTCAGTCAGTATTTCCCAACCTGTGAAGAACATTTGACCACAATCCTTCTATATGACAGAGTGAGGAAGGCTATCCTTACTCTGGTTCTCTGACCTCCTGAAGATTTGTGTTTAGTGTCTGTGCACCAAAGTCTGGCTTAGACTTTCTCAGTGAAAGGTCAGATGGGTTAGTTTAAATTATATCAGTAATGGCTTCCACTGCCTGACTGATTTTGCACTGAAATGGACTGGGAATGCTCAACAGCAGACAAAAATATTTTTCTGTACTGGAACAGTATCAAGACCCTGAGGTACTAACCTTTTAAAACAGCTCCAGTGAGATGTATAAGGGCTGTATGGCTATGTCTCTGTGTCTCGGGCATCTCCAAATATCATGTGTGGTATCACATTATTTCATGATCTGCAATATTTAGACAACTGAGTAATGTTGTATAACTGTCACATATTATAGTTATCCTCTGTAATCTGACATGTACTCCTATATTTACAAAATAATTATCAGAAAAAATAAGCCTTCCTATCCTACTGTCATTAAATAATACTTTATTTTATATTTTACATGTTTCAGAATCCAGGCTATGCAGGACGACAGGAACTTCCAGAAAATCTGAAGATTCAGTTTCGCACTGTTGCTATGATGGTGCCTGACCGTGGTATTATTATGCGAGTCAAGCTAGCAAGTGCTGGTTTCCGAGACAACCAAATCCTTAGTCGAAAATTCTATACACTCTACAAGCTCTGTGAAGAGCAGTTATCTAAACAGGTAAAATAAATATTTGTCCAAGAGTAAGCTGCTGCTGGAAGGGAATATAGAGAATATACTTCTATAGGATTTATAACTATTTTGATGCTCAGAAACCTAGTCTTTTTTAGGGTTTTCAGTTTTAAGTTCTAACAACTTAGTCTGAAATTGTCATTTCATATTTATTTTTCATGGAGAAATGGAGAAAATATGAGGAACACACTGTAGAACTCTGCAGAGCTTTGTAGAGGCCAAATTTCCCATTCTCCTCACTTATAAAGACTAGACCTACTAGAGAGGCTGTCAAGAGTCCAGTACTCTCTGACCAGGTTCTTTTAGATATTCCACGTATACGGAGAGTGCAGTGTTTAATATAAAAGTTTATTTTTAAGGAATTTGATGTTATATGGGATTTTTGATTTAGCAGAGTGATTCAGCAATATACTGAAATCACAATTCAAGTGTATACACTTAACAAAATCTAGCTAGACAGTTAGCAGGGTTGATGCCAGCTCAAGCCCCTTGCTGTCTTCGAAATTTCTTTGTGAGTTGTTGAGGTTTTATACTTTTTGTTGGGCTGAGCCACGTATACGCTTCCCTCATGCTGGTCTGGCTATTCTCAGGGAGACCTTCACATTCTTTTGGACAGCTCAGAAGAAATATTTGCATCAGGTCTAACTGCTTAACTGGCTATTTTCTAACACAGAGTTCACCCTCTGGCCCCCTTTGTGTTCAGAGAAAATCAGTTCTCTGTGCAACAGCAAGGATTAACAATCCACATTCTACGCTGTCCTTGAGATCCAAAGGGGCACCTCTGAGTCTTCTCCCGTGAATAGGGGCTATTGGTTGGTCACAGAGGCAATGTAAGAATTATAAATAACTAAACATTGCGTAGAAGATGCAATCTTGCTGAATGCTACCAGAAATGTGCCATTCTGTTTGGATGTGGTATGTAAGTAGAAATAAAGGCTAAAGAAGCTTTTGAGAACAGAAATAGTTGTTAGCTTCTGAATGCCATGCTCTGAGTGTCCACTAGAGGATCTAAAACAGAAATTATATTAATGATAGGATAAGTAGCAGCTCAAATTAGGATCCTGCTCCAGTTGGATCCTAATGAGCTTGGAAATATTGACAGCATTCTCCATTACTCCATGTTACTTCAGTTCTATAGCACGTATTTATTAGTGTCCTTGTTGGTTTTCATGTAGAAACCTTGGACTATACCAGAATAAGATGATGGTAGGGTATCATGTCACCCACATTATTTCAGGGTTAAAACAGAAAACATACAGATTTGGATTTTTTCTTTCTTTCTCCATAGCTCAGTAATTTCACTGTCTCAGAGTATATTGCCAAACTGGATCTCAGTTTTCATTTGTCGCAGGCTTCTTTTACTAAGAAAATTTTGCTCACCAGCTTTCTGTTGTAGACTGGCTTCTGAAGGGTCACATTTACTATTAACTTCTATGTAATATTGCCCAGGATGTCTCCATTAGCCTTCGAAGTAATTTTTAAGCAATCTGAATTCCCCTGTGTTGATCCAGCATCACTGGTGATATATTGTCCACTTGTTGCTGTTCATCCCGCTCCCTCAGTCATGTCATCTGCCTGTGTTTTGCAATTACCAGATTTATAGACTGCATTTGTTAGAGAATCATTTTCTGAGACTGGTCTTTGTAGTGGAATGTGTGGACATTGTTTAGGAAGATTTATGTATGCATGCACTTTTACGAGTTAGCAACATAGCTTGTGTCCAGAGTATTGAATATGGATCTCTTTTTTTTCAATCAGGCTTGCTCTCAGTATGATTCTATGTTAAATTTTCTCATTGTCTCAGTGGCTTGTGTGTGTCATTTTTGTTCTGGACATGATACTTTCTTTCACTGTGGCAAGAGTAATTTATACAGGCATCAGATACTTTGCCATCTACCTGTGCAGTGGTGCTTTGCCTGTTTTATGTTGTTGCAGGTGCTGGAAGTGTTACACAGGCACTCCTGGAGAGTGTTTGAAAACAAAAAACAACCTAATTTATTATGATCTTTATGTAGGGTAAAGCACACTGAGTGTGCACACAGGCACAGCCCTAAGATCCAGCTACATTGCAATTATAAACAAAGGACAAATTTGAATTTCGTTTTTATCTCTCCCTTATAATTAAATTCTGTAGTTCTTGCCATGCAAGTCATGATGTCTCCAGGAAACAATGTGCTATGTGTCTTTATAATTTCCTCAGGACCTTCTATCATTTCTTTAGTAGCCATCAGAGAAGACTGCCATACTGATCTTTGTTCCTAGCATTTTACTTCATGGGTCATGATCCTATACCGTCTACTTTCTAGAAGTTTACTTCATGGGTCGTGATTCTATACCCTCTAAAATGAGCCAGGAAGCATAGCTTTCTGCAGACCCATTGTAGTATGCTACTTTGTCCTTCTTGTACCCTTCAGTATCCCTTTTGACTCTCCTGGTCTTGTGGAACTCCAGCTATGTAGGATCATAAAATCACAGAAGAGTTGAGTTTGGAAGGGACCTCTGGAGGTCATCTAGTGCCTATAGCGGCACTCAAAGCAGGATCAACTAGAGCAGGTCAGCACCTGCTCAAGGTACTCAGCACCTTGTCCATGCAGGTTTTCAATATCTTCATGGTTGAAGACTCCACAAACTCTCTGGACAACCTGTTCCAATATCTGACAACATTCACAGTAAAAAAGTTTTTCTGATGTTGAAGGGGAATTTCCTGGATTTCCATTTGTGCCCATTGCCTTTTATCCTGTCACTAGGTACCACTGAGAAAAGATTGGCTCTGTTTTCTTTACTCCCTCCTGGCATGTATTTGAACACGCTAATAAGATGCACCCTGAGCCTTCTCTTCTTGAGAACACCCTCAACCTCTCCTCATATGTCAAATGCTTCAATCCCTTAATCGTTTTTGTGGCACTTCACTGGATTTGCTCCAGTATGCCCATGTCTGTCTTGTACTGGAGATGTCAGATATGGATGCACATTGGCCTCCCCAATCCTGAGCAGAGGAGAAGAAACGCCTTCCTTCGCCTGCTGGCAACTCTCTTCCTAATGCAGCCCAAGGTGCTGCTGACTGCCTTTGCCCCAAAGGCACTGGCTTATGTTCCACTTGTTGTCCGTCAGAACCCACAGGGCGTTTTCTACGAGGCTACTTTATAGCTGGTCAGCCTCCAGCCTGTATAGGTGGGTGCCTGTGGTTCTTCCTCCTGAGGGACAGGCCTTGGCATTTCCCTTTGTTGATCCTGTTGGCTCAGTTTCCAGTATGTCAAAGTCCCACTGAATGGCAGCACAACCTTCTGGTGTATCCAACACCTCTTCCCCATTTTGTATCACCTATAAACTTGCTAAGTGTGTACTCAGTCCCATTGTCCAGGTCATTAATGAAGATATTAAATGCTACTGATGCCAGCATCAGCCCCTGACTTCAACCTGGACTTTGTGTGACTGATCACAACCCTTTGATCCTGGCCATTCAGACAGTTTTCGATCCACCTCATAGTTCACTTACCTATTCCCTACTTCATCAGTTTGTCTAAGACAGGAGATGATGTCAAAATCTCCTGGATTGCTTGTGCTCAGCTGTGTTCCCCTTCTAAGAGTGGGGTAGTTCAGGTCTCCCATGAGGAGCAGGGCTTGCAAATGTAAGGCTAATTTGAATTGTCTGAAGAAAGCCTCATCTACTTCTTCATGATCAAGTAGTCTGTAGCAGATACCCACCACAACATCACAAATAACGATCAGCCCTCTAATCTTAACCTAAAAGCTCTCAACTGGCTCATCAAAGGTCCCAAGGCAAAGCTCCATGTATTCCTGCTCTCTTTCACATTAAATGGCAGCTCTCCCTCCTTGCCTTCCTGGCCTCTCCTTCCTAAAAAGCCTGTATCAATCTATTGCTGCACTCCAGTCTTGTGAGGTATCCCACTATGTCTCTCATCTCAATGAGGTAGTAATCCTGCAACTGCATACAGAGCTCTAATTCTTCCTGTTTGTTCTCAATGCTGCATACATTAGTGAGCAGGCCTGTCAGATTAGCACCCACTCATGCCGATTTCCCAGAAAAATTGTGAGAGTGCTTCTCCCATAACGCTGTCCTCTCGGCCCTTCCATCTTTGCATATATGCTCCTGAGGTTGGCCCTCTTCCACCATGTTCTGTCATGCTTCAGCTCTTTTTTGTCCATCTCAACCTTCATCTTTTGCTTTTCAATCAGGTCCACAACTTTTTCACTTGTCTGTGGGTTGACATCTCCCTCCCCTGTCACTCCTAGTTAGTAGTAGTTGTAATGCGATATTTTGAAAGACTTGCTGAATCACAGAATGGCCAAGGTTGGGGACCTCTGGACCTCTGGAGATCTTCTAGTCCAATCCCCCTGCTCAAGCAGGGTCCTCTAGAGCACGTTGCCCAGGATTGCGTCCAGGCGGGTTTTGAATATCTCCAGGGAAGGAGACCCCACAACCTCTCTGGGCAACCTCTTCCAGTGCTCCGTCACCCTCCCAGGAAAGAAGATTTTCCTTGTGTTCAGACGGAACTGCCTGTCTTTCACTTTGTGCCTGTTGGCTCTTGTCCTGTCACGGGGCACCAGAGAGAAGAGCCTGGCCCCGTCCTCTTGACACCCTCCCTTCAGATACTTGTACACATTGATCAGATCCTCCTCTCAGTCTTCTCTTCTCCAGACTGAACAGGCCCAGCTCTCTCAGCCTTTCCTCAGATGAGACATGCTCCAGTCCCTTCATCATCTTCAGAGCTCTCTGCTGGGCTTGCTCGAGGAGCTCCATGTCTCTCTTATACTGGGGAGCCCAGAATTGGACGCAGCACTCCAAGTGTGGCCTCCCCAGGGCTGAGCAGAGGGGCAGGATCACCTCCCTCGACCTACTGGCAATGCTCTTAGTGCAGCTCAGGCTATCATTAGCCTTCTTGGCTACAAGGGCACAGTGCTGCCTCATGGTCAACCTGTTGTCCACCAGCACTCCTAGGTCCTTCTCTGCAGAGCTACTTTCCAGC